TGCAGATGGTAGCCCTTGATGTGCTGGGAGAGGCCGTTGCGCCGCTTGAAGACGCGCTCGCAGATGCTGCACTTGTACCTGCGCTCCGAGCTGTGCGTGATGCGATGCTGCTTGAGCCCGGTCAGCGAGCTAAAGGTCTTCTGGCAGACGCTGCAGCCGTGGGCGGCACGCTTTGCGGCCTGTGCCTGGCCAGCGTTGGGCGTGCGGCGACGCTTGACCGGTCGTGTACGCGCCGGCGGCCGCAGGCGACACTTGAGCTCGTGCCGCCTGTAGATGCGCCAATGGGTGAAGCTAATGCTCTGGCAGTGCCGGCACTTGTAGCTCTGCAGCCGTGCATTGCGCAGCGGCAGCGACTGGCAGATGTAGCGCATATGCTGCCGCAGCCCAAGCCGCGTGCAGAACAGCCGCAGGCAGCCGAAGCACTTAACGGCAAATGTGCGCGGCGGCGGCACCACAAAATGCCGCCTGCGTCGCCGATGCCCGAGCAGCTGCTGCACGCTGGCAAAACCCCGCGAACAGCGGCCGCAGCGCAGCCGAGGATTGGCTCGACTAGTCGCAGTCGGCTTCAGGTTCGTCCGCAGCCGGCGGCACTTGTGCTGCAGCCGGCGATAGCGTGCCGCCAGCTTAGCGTAGGCATAGTTCGGCGATTGCGGCTCGCTGATCGCCGGCTGGGCTATGAGATCGTTGTAATGCAGAAAGCTGCGCTGCATGTCCAGAATGTCGATCTTCTTCTTGGCGGGCATCTGCGCCGGCAGCCAGTCCGCCTGCCAGTAGTCCACAGCGGCCGGCAGCGGCGGCAACGTGCTGCTTTCCAGCTTAAGCGTGTTGTTTGTTGTGGGCTGGCTGAGATTCGGCGGCGGCACGCTAACCATGGGCGCAGGCGCAGCCGTAGGCGTTGGCGTGGCATGCGCATGGGCATAATGCTGCTGCAGGCTCTCGGCCGTAAAGAACTTGGTGGTGCACAGGCTGCAGTTGTGCAGTCGAAAGGCGGAGGACTGCACCACGCTGTCATTGAGCACCACAATATTGGGCTTGGTCGAGGCTGGAGCGGGCGCCGGCGCGGGAGCGGGCATCAATTCGCATATCATGGGATTGGGTATTTGGCTGACATTGGTCACAATTGGCTTGGAGCTGCGCGGCTCCGTTGGGCCGGACTCCTGTAGCTCGGCGCCTTCAACTTTCTCCGTTTTATATTGCTGCAGCGGCGGCAGCTGCCAATCTTCCTTGGCATAGTTGTGCTCCTCGGTGAGCAGCTCCGACTGCAGCAGCTCGTGCGGCGTGGGCAGCACGGCGGGCACGCTAACGGGCTGTGCCTGGGCCACATCCGCATCGTCGGTTATATTTATGAACGGATCATCGAGATTGATTATCTCCATGATATCACAATTGTTGATGATGTCCTGCGCATTCAGCATGGGAAAATTACAGAACTGAAACTTTTGCTCCGTTTCATCGTTGGCCTCCGGCTCGTGATCGCAGCAGCCCTCGTCCAGGCCCATGTCCAGCTCGTCAGGAAACAGATTGTCGAGACTTTCGCATGCCTCCTGCTTGACGCGCACCACCGGCTCCTGTTTGATCTTCAGCTGGCGACGATATTTGCGCTGCAATTCGCCCTGGGCGACAATAACAACATCACAGAATTTGGAGAAGCGCTCCAGTTGACGGCAACAGTCGCCGCATATCTCCTTGGGCAGCGGCAGCGTGTCGTCCTGGAGTATCTGGAGCGTGGGAAAGCATTTCTGTATCATGGCAAACAGCTCGAAGCTCTTCTCAAAGGACACACAATTCAATGCGGCGATGCCGCAGAAGCGGCACGTGCTCTTCGTGCCGCTGCAGCTGCTCGCCGGCACCGCGTCCGTCGCAGGCAGCGTAACCTGTTCCACAATCACATTCAGCGTCTCCTCCGGCACTCGGACCGTGGGCACGGCGTTCTTTTTCAATGTTTTGCGATTGTTGCTGCAATTGAAGTCGGCGTCCACGAAATGGCGGCTGCAGACGGCGCTCCACTTGGAGGGCATCCATTGGCCGTTGCGCTGTGTAAAGTCCCGCCATTTCTGCAGCAGATCCTTGCGCTTGAATGGAAATCTGCAAAAATTTAACATAGCCAAAACTCCAATTGAAATCTCACCTGTGGAAGGATATGCTGCCCGCATGCACATATTTATCGCTGCAATTGACTACCGCACAGTAGGCGGGCATTTGGCATTGTCTGCTTTTCAAAATCTTATTCTAGTCTAAATTATTTTGTTTTTTATTTTTTCAGGTACTGAAAATTGCAGTTTTAAATTCTCTTTGCGTTTTAACAGCGTGCAAGAACAGTGTTAATAGCATAACTCATACTGGGCTGTTATTAACAGCTGGCTGTTACAAATGGTTGACAAAACAGCTGTTACGCTTTTTTAGACAAAATAACATTTTTTATTGATTGCAATGTGACTTTAAAAGTGCATTAGGAAATGTATCAAAATCTATTAAATATTTTATGTGACTGAACAGTGGGAAGAAATCGTATTAACTGCGAACGCAGCAATGAGCTAACAGGTTCTGTTAACGCAGTTTGGCTCGTGAACAAACGAACTGGTTCATCTCTTATCAGTATCAGCTGTTTTACTCAATTACCCGCCCACCCATTTTCAATTAACGCCTTATTAGAGCTGCGCGCCGCGGCTGCTTGCCAAATAAAAATTCTCCGACTAATCAGTAATACAGCTCTTGCGGCAGCTGTAGACGGACTGTTACTGGAAGAACGTGCGTTCGCGACAAGGTCGAGCAAGGTCAAGCAGTGAAAGTTAAACAAAATGGTAAAGCTGCTCAAAGCTGCAAACGCCGCCCTGGCCCTGCGTTTCGCTCCAGTCGCTGGAACAGCGAACAATGCAACATTACAAACACTGGACAGACAGCGACGCTGGCAGCACAGGTCGGCTGCGGGCAGAGGCAGCGGCAGCGGCGAACGGTGCGTGAGTTGCGATAAGAAAAAATTTGACATTAAACGCGTGTTAATTGTAAAAACAAATAAGAAAACTTATCTTCGGCAATTGCCGCAGATTAAATACCCTTGCAATATATTTCTATAGCTGACAAAAACTTTTTCATCAATAACTCCCATGGGATCTATATAATAATTAATCAGATTTTTACCATCTTTTAGGAGCTGAGAATTCGTTAAAGATTTTATTTAATTCAATTAAATTAATTTTTGAACGTTTATTCATATTGAAACTATACATACAGACGCTCCTAATTCGATATACTTGCCTAGACCGATTGTTCCAATTGGAATTATATAACAAATCAATCCAATAAGATTTTTAGACATGCGTAAAGATATCTTGAAAAATAAAGGTGTTTTATAAATTTAATTTATTTCTCACATATGTTTCTCTTTGGAAGCTTTATTATAAAGGGATCCGTTGGGGTAGCTTATATAGATTATATTAAAATACGATCGATTATAAAGAAATACGATCCGGATCGTGAGGAATAGTAAACTAATTGATTTTCCTATCTAACGCAGACAATATGATCTTGTTGTGGTGGGCGGTGGCATAGTGGGCGCGGCGTCGGCTCGTGAGATCCTGCTGCGCCATCCCGCGCTCAAGGTGGCCATTCTGGAGAAGGAGCCAAAGCTGGCGATGCACCAGAGCGGCCACAATTCGGGCGTCATCCATGCGGGCATCTACTACAAGCCGGGCACACTGAAGGCCCGCCTCTGCGTGGAGGGACTGCATCTGGCGTACAAGTATCTTGACGAGCATCAGATTCCGTACAAGAAGTGCGGCAAGCTGATCGTGGCCACGGATGCCAAGGAGGTGAAGCTGCTGGAGGATCTGCATCAGCGCGGCATCAAGAACAATGTGCCCGATCTGCGCATGATTGACGGAGATCAGATCAAGGAGATCGAACCTTATTGCCAGGGTGTCAAGGCGCTGCACAGCCCGCACACGGGCATCGTGGACTGGGGCCTGGTAACCCAGCACTATGGCGAGGATTTCAAGTGCGCCGGCGGCGACATCTATCTGGACTTCAAGGTCAGCAAGTTCAGCGAGACGCCAGAAGGCACCGACTACCCGGTGACCATACACGGCGCCAAGCCCGGCCAGACGGTGAGTACCAAGAATGTGCTCACCTGCGGCGGCCTCCAGTCGGATCTGCTGGCCGAGCTGACCGGCTGTCCGCGCTCGCCGCGCATTGTGCCCTTCCGCGGCGAGTATCTGCTGCTCTCGAAGCAGAAACAGCACATGGTGCGGGGCAACATCTATCCGGTGCCAGATCCGCGCTTTCCCTTCCTCGGCGTGCACTTTACGCCGCGCATGGACGGCAGCATCTGGCTGGGACCCAACGCAGTGTTGGCGCTCAAGCGCGAGGGCTACACGTGAGTAAATCCGGAGAAACTCCCGATACCCATTTAAAGAGAGCATAATGATAATCTCTCCTTTCCCATTTGCAGCTGGGGCGACATCAATCTGTTCGAGCTATTCGATGCGCTGCGCTATCCGGGTTTCCTGAAGATGGCCAGCAAGTACATTGGCTTCGGCTTCAGCGAAATGGCCAAGTCGGCATTCATCAATCTGCAGGTGAAGGCGCTGCAAAAGTATATCCCGGATATAAACGAATATGATATTGAGCGTGGACCGGCGGGTGTGCGCGCCCAGGCGCTGGACTTGCAGGGTAATCTGGTCGATGACTTCGTCTTTGATCGCGGCGAGGGCAGCGGACCGCTGGCCAAACGTGTGCTCCATTGCCGCAATGCACCGTCGCCGGGCGCGACGAGCAGCCTGGCCATTGCCAAGATGATCGCGGACAAGATCGAGACAGAGTTCGCCATTGGCAAGGCCAAATAGTAGATCCCAGATCCCAAGTGCAATCCGTTCTTTTGTTGTGCATTTCTCTTAATCTTTTAAGCATAAATTGTTTCCACTTTCCGATAAAGTTTCCTTTTCTCCCTTCACTCGCAGCAAAATCCGTGAAGCTCATCAGAAAGAGTTCTTATACATATAGGGAGCTTATATTTCTAGTGAAGCTTCAGTTCAGCTCCAGAATGTGCCGCTTGCCGCTCGCCGACGGGTCCTTGATGGCTAGCACCTGGATCTCCCTTTGCAGCTGGTTTGCAGGCGATTCGGTTTTCAGTAGGTCGCGACATTTCTCATTTAAAATTTTCAGTCCGTTGGCTGCATGCTGTCGCATTTGAGGATCGCAGCTTTCGTTGGCTTCGATAGCGCGCAGCAGCCTATAGATGGGCAGGAGCATGTCCTGGTAGTCCAGCAGGCTCTCCATGCCGGCCAATAGCTCGGCGAGCACCAGCAAGGCGCCACGCTTGGCCGGCAAATAGCGACCGCTGCTGAGCTCGGCGTCGATTAAGTGCAGCAGCTCCTGGAAGAAGCTATGCACTTGGCGGGCGAGCAGGCGGCAGAGCTGCGCCAGATTCGCATAGGCGGAACTGCGAAACTCGTCCAGGTCCGAGCGTGCGCCATGCAAAAAACAATTGAACAACACGGCCTTGTAGCGATAGCACAGGGGTCCTGTTGGGTGCAGGAAGGGATTAGGATTTAAGTCTGCTCCAATTGGGATTGCAGATGCTCTGCTACTCACCCACTTCCTCGGCTGCCTTTAGGATGGCCTCACCCACGACCAGGCGATAGTCCAGATCGGCTGTTTCCGACAGATATTCATCGCTGAGCATCTCCAGCACCTGGGCCTCCATGATGTGCACCAGGGCCACAAACAGGCGCACACAATTGAGGAATGTGTAGGATTCCCTGTGCTTGAGCGTGCTCAGAGCGAGCGCAATGATGCGATGTGACTGCGATATGAAGGCGGGATCCCTGCGCCGCAAAGCCTCCAGCATCAGCTGGATGCCATAGACTTGGAGATGTGGCTGCTGATCCTCGATGAGCTCGCGCGCCCGCTGAAAGGACGTAAGAATCGGAGCACGGCTGGGCTGCCGCTCGCCGCCAAGCAGCTCCAGCAGCGGCTGCAGCGCATTCTTGAGCAAAGGATTCGCTGTGTGCTTGGCCAACTGCTCCAGTGTCTGCTGCAGGTGGCGCGTGCCATCCGCCAGCTGCAGCTGCTCGCTGCGCTCGAGCAGCTCCTGCAGCAGCAGAAGTATGAGCAGCTGTATCTGTTCCGTCAGCTGTGCCGGCTGCACTTTGATGTCCAACAGCAGCAGGACGAGCTCCATAAATGGTTTGTTCTGCGTGGCCGCCAGCTGCGCCTTCAGCGGCTCGTGCCAGACCAGCTGCTCCAGGGCCACAAGCAGCTCCAGCTTGAGCTGATACTTGAGCTGCAGGAATTGCGCCAGCTCCGTTTCCGTGGACAACAGCTCGATGCTGGTTGGCTCTGGCGCCGTCAGCTGCTGCACCATGAGCCCGAGCAGGGCCAGAAACACTTTCGTGGTGAGCGCCTGATCGCTGCCGGCCATAAGCAAGGCGGGCAACGCGCGGCAATAGTTGTGCTCGTCCTGCTCCTGCGCCACCTGCACGGTAAACAAATCCGTGTCCGCAGCATGCTTGACGACCAGGCGAGGATGCAGCGCTTGCCAAGGCGACGGGTTGGATATATCCCAGCTGAAGAGACGCTGCAGCAGCGCAGGCAGCTCCTGCTTCAACTCCCTGTTGTCCAGACAGCGCGAGATCAGCGCAGCCAAGGCCTTCCGCTCCGGCAGCGCTTGCGGCAGCTGCTTATACAGCTGCAGGAGCAGCGGCATGTAGGGCACCAGCAGCACACTGGGCAGGCAGGCCACGCTGGAGAGGCAGAAGAGCTGCTGCCAGAGGCGCAGGCAATCGCACAGCTGCGCCAGATCCCAGACTATAAGGCCGTTCAGTAGATCAGCCGGCGCAGTCAGCGGCTGCCAATGCTGGCCGAGCACACGCTCCAAGCATTCGCGATTCGCCGCATTCAGCTCGCAGAGATGCCGCAGGCTGAGCACGCCCGCCAACACGTTGTGCTCCTGCGCCACCTGCAGGCGGCAAAAGTCCAGGATCTGCCCAATGAGCCGCTGCTGCAGACGCGGCGAGTAGCCGCGCTGCGCCACAATGTTGGCCACGATTTCCGCATTGCGTGTGGCGTTCGGCGTTTGTAAAGCGGCCAACAGGCTGGCAAAGCCATGCGCGGCGCCCAATTTGCTGAGGAGCTGCTGGTGCAGCTCCTTGGCCAGACCAGGGCACAGCTGAGGAGTCGCCTTGAGCAGCAGCACATGACGAAAGTAATCCGCCTTTGATTCATTGTGCCACAGATAGGCGAGCGCTGTGTCCAGCTGGGCACGCTGCGCCGACGTTGGCTGCCGCACACGGAGACTTATAACGACTGCCAGCAGATCCCGCTGCACCAGCTCCATGGCATTGGCTATGTGCAGCTGGCGTATGCTCAACAGGCGGGTAAACAACTGCACACTCAGCCAAATCAGCGAGGGATCGCAGCTGAGTTGGCCATTGTTCGGGACATCCTTGAAAACGGGCGATTTGTAAAAGTCCTCGTGCAGCTGGGCACGCAGCGCGTAGTAGCCGAGCTCCTGGGTTGCCCGCATGCACAGCCTGAGATGCGCCACCGAGATGAGATCCTCCTTGGCATCGCTGTGGAAATTGATGTTGCGGCTCAACGTGTGCAGCACGTGCAGCAGGCGTATGATGTAGCAATTAATGCAGTTCTCCAAATCGATCGGAACAGGCTCTGCCTGTACATTAAGATCCTCAGACAGTTCCTGCAGCTGCTGCGACACATTCAGTTGAACGTATTTCGCCAAAATAATTAAATTTTCCTGAAGCTTGGTGAGGGCTGCTGTGTCTTGCCCTTTGCCTGCTGCAATATATTATATATGCTAACTGTAATTAAATGCTTAGAATCCCACCATACTCACGCGCTGCATGTTCAAAGTTTAATTCATCCAGCAATGCGAAATATTTGGGTATATTAATCATAGCGCGCGAATATTGCAATTGCAACAATCAACAAATATTTCGCTTTTACGGCAACAGCTGTTGCGCAAACTAGGTGGCAACGCCGAACAGCGGGTGAAATGCCAGCATGACACTTGCAATATTCCATAATGTCCACATTAAAGACTATTAAAAGCGTTAAATATTTGATAACTGGCAAATTTCTTGGGAAATGTTAATATTTAACATATTCCTAACATTTGCTTAACATAATCTTAACATACTCTTAACACTTAACATTTTCTGTTAACACAACAGCCTCACGGCTGCACGCTGTTATGGCTCCCATCAGTATCGTGCTGACTGGCGAAGCGTGCGCACACCTCTAATTTTTTTTTTATCGGCTGGCAACCTTGCACATTTAGTGAAATCCAATTTAATTGCAGCTAATATTCGTTCGCTTTATTTTGTGCTGCAAATATTGTAAATAGTTATTCCGCGATTCTGTGTATATAAACAACAATAATGTGCAACTTTAATAAATAGTAAATAATACCAAATATCATTGATTTTATGCAGCAATAGCTTGCCGAAAAAACCCGTACGTGTAAGGCAGGAAAATCGAACAACTTTCTTTTTCCATAGTGTGTGTCAGTGTGTGTGTGTGCGTGCGTATGTGTATCGCTGCCATGCAAATGCGAAAAAGCGCAGCGTAAATCGCAAAACTACGCAAAAACAAAAGTTAATTAAAATAGAAAATTCGCGTTAATTATACGGCTAGCGGCCAGGTGAACACGCCCGTCGTTGGCAAACGCCCACGCGATTAACTCACACACACACACACATAGCTGCCGTCGTTGTTGCCACTGCAGTAAACAACAATAATAAAAATTGAAAAATGAAGAAAATCCTGTCGAAATTCGACAGAAATGAGAAATTGGACAACTCGCACAACAGCTCTTCATCCAAGGAGACAAACAGTTTCGTTGGCAAGGTTTTCACAGTCGGACGCGTCACGGTCACCGTGGAGGATGTCTTGGCCGAAGGTGAGTGTATGGGCGGGGGAAGGGAGGGAGTTGCTGGTTTATCAGATGTTCGTCTGTGTGTGTGTGTGCGTAGAGAATTACACAAATTGTTGCCACCTGATTTAAAGCGTGTAGCCAGCGCGTCAGATTAGATAAAAATTTAAAAAATATATATGCCATAGTCTGTTTCTTTAATGTGGGGCGTAAACAGCTGCGTTTCCCCTTTCGGCCGGCGCCACTTGTCGCGTGCTGCAACAGAGCACAAAGAAACTGGCACTTTACTTTTCTGCTATACAAATTAATAGAAATTCAATCAATTATGCACATTAATCAAGCCAATAAAGCAAGAACTATTTTTTCCTCTATTCCCGGTCTGCACACACACACACATTGAAACAATGCCGTAGTGTAATTGTCGTCATTTGCAAAAGGCAGAGTTCAGCCCCGATGTTGCCATTTTAGCCATTTTATAGCTACTCCTAGCCAATTGATGATAAAGGCTAGGATTTAACAAAACAATTGTTCATTTATAAGATGCGTCAATTTAACACAATTGGAATTCTTCGGACCTTAAGCCACTTTTGAATTTAGTCTGGCCACTTTTGGCATCTTTTTTTTAGCTTTCAAAATATATATGGGCAACACTGTTCAAGGCAAGGCGCAAAGATGTATTGCAAGTGTCCTTGATTTGAAGTGAATAATATCCTGCGCTGCGAAACGCCCCTCAATTGTCAAGTGCTTGGCAAATAGTTGCTACTATTTTCAACAGCTGCCAGATATTTTATTTGCATTTATTATTTTCCTTGTGTGCGTGTGTGTGCGTGGAAACGACATTTCACCTTTTACTTGGCTACAGTTATTGATATTTTTGTTTTTGGCTATTTTTGCAACTTGGCAAGCACCGTTGTTGCTATTGACCACAGAATGTCGGCGTCAGCTGTTGTTGTTGTTGTTGCTGCTAATTCAGTTGCCTATCAATTACCAGAGTTGCCAACTCGTTTGCGTACAAAAACACATTGCATGACTAACTGTAAAAGCCAAAATATAAGGAGTTTGCCGCTCTTGTCGCTGTCTTTCTTTGTCTTCGTTTCGCGTTTAAAATCCACTTTACAGTTGATTTACTCTCTCTATCTCTCTCTGTCTCTCCCTCTTGCTGAGTCGTCACAATTGCAATTACAATTGTGCATTGTTATTGTTGGCCGTTGATTTACGCTGCTCAACCTTCAGCATTGATTAACATTTGACGTTATAATTTCACAAACGCCAACTAAAAAGTCGAACGAAAATCGAGCAGTGACTGCCACAGTTACAGTTATTGTATTTGTTGTTGGTTTCGGCCCCCCAAACGTGCATATGTCTGTATGTATGTAAGTTTTATTATTCTTGTCACTTGTTGTTGTTGTTGTTGTGGTTGTAGTTGTACGTGACCTTCAATAGTTTTGTACAAATGTACACATGTACCTATTATGTTCATTTATATGTACATATTTATGTATATTACGTCGCTTTTTATCGTTCATTGGAGTGGCTCCAGAGTCGCGAGGGTGGCGCTACTTGGGTCGGGAAGGGGTTGCGGTATACGCTAACATTAACGACGTTTTTTTTTTTTTTGTTCTTGAAAACTTCTATTGAAAAATGATAAAATACCCTACTTAATTTGCATAGCTAAAGCAACTGTAGATAAGGTTTGATTTATTTACATTTTTTATATACAAATGTTGGGGAATAATCACATTTAAATGAATATGAAATAAAATACTTTGATGCATTTCCCAGCATAGTAATTGCCGGGTTTTGAGTTTAATTTTAAAATGTTAGAATTTTTTTACTTACATTTTGCATTTTAACAGACACATTTGAACAGCTCGCTGTTACTAACATTCGTGTTACATGTTAAACAAACGGTTATTGACATTAATATTCATTTAGTTTTCAAAAATGTAAAGTTTTCATCAATAAAAAGTTTATATCTTTGCCTTTTTCTTAGTCTAACATGAAATATGCAAATCCAACAACCTAGCCTTTAGACTCTTTGTATTTAAGGTATAACGGCATAGGTGTATTAGCGGCCGGTTGGCCTCCAGTTGGTGTTGTTTTCCCAGCTGTCGGCTGTCTAGACTCGGCGCTTGATATAAATGTACAATAATGACTAATGTATGTATATTCCCCCGTTGCAGGTGGTTTTGCCATGGTTTTTCTGGCGCGCGGCAATGGCGGAGGCAGTGCATCAGCCAATAAATACGCACTGAAACGTATGTACGTCAACAATGAGCACGATCTGAACGTGGCCAAGCGTGAGATACAAATTGCCGTAAGTATGCGAACATAAAACTCCTTGAATCCATTTGCTAAACAAGCTTCCATCGATTTTCCAGAGCAATTTGAGCGGTCACAAGAACATCATCGGCTATGTGGATTCGAGCATTACGCCAACCGGGAACGGAGTGTGCGAGGTGCTGCTCCTAATGCCATATTGCAAGCATCACATGCTGGCCATGATGAATGCTAGGTGAGTATAGTCTATACCCAATTTTATATATTTTCATGGAGAGCAGAAACAACATGTAGCTCAGACAGAGGTGTGTAAAGTATCCCTCAGGGGGATACGAAAGCGATACCCAAAAGAGAATCAAATAATAGAAAATAATCAGAATTATGATATGTATCTTAAATGTATCTCCCAAGCGACATTTATTCTTACTCAGTTAGTCTAGTTTTGCGTGGATTACATTTATATAAAAAACAATTCATTTTCCCTTAGATTACACGTTGGCTTCACCGAACCGGAAGTGCTAACCATCTTCTGTGATATTGCCGAGGCTGTCTCCCGTTTGCATTACTGCCAAACGCCCATTATACATCGGGATCTGAAGGTGGAGAATATCCTGCAAACGGACGGTGGCAATTTTGTGCTCTGTGACTTTGGTTCGGCGACGGCCAAGACTCTGAATCCCCAGCAGCATGGTGTCACCGTGGTCGAGGAGGAGATACAGAAGTATACAACGCTATCGTATCGTGCGCCTGAAATGATTGATCTGTACAGTGGGAAGAGCATTACGACGAAGGCGGACATCTGGGCACTGGGCTGTATGCTCTATAAGCTCTGCTTCTTTGCCCTGCCCTTTGGCGAGAGCACGCTGGCCATACAGAACGGACAGTTCGCCATACCGGACAACTCGAAATACTCGCGCGGCGTACATCAGCTGATCAAATATATGCTGGACACGGACATGGAAAGGCGTCCCAATATTTGGCAGGTGTGCGAAGTCGCCTTCCGGCTGGCGGGCAAAGACAATCCCGTGCAGAATTTACATGTAAGTTGTTGCTTTGCTCTTAAGAATTGGAATATGAATTCGTTTCGCTCTTGCAGAAATCCGCCTTGCCCAACTTTGAGCAGCTGCTGGTGCCACCGTTTGAGTCCGAGGCAAAACGCATCAGTGCAGCCGCCGCCAAAGCAGCCAAGCCGCAGCAGAACGTGTCCCTGGTGGAGGCGGGCACCAGTGTGGCGCCACGTTCCCGGCCCAAAGGCTCCACCACGGTGCATGGCCAGAATGCGCTGGGTCTGGGCCTGCCGCCCAGTCCACTGCCGCGTCAGAGCATCACATCGCCACAACCACAGCCCGTGGTCGAGCAGTTTCAGGCCAATTTTCCCGCTATGCCGGCGGTGGTCCCTGCCCCGCCAGCTGTCGCCGCCGTCGCCGCAGCAGCAACTGTGCCGACAACAGCTGCTGCGGCGGCCAGCGCGACGGCGCCAGCAGCTGTCAACAGCCTGTTCGAGTCGAGCGTGTATCCGGATCCGTTCAATGAGGCAGCCACAACAGTTGCTGCAACTGAAGCAACGGCAGCATCTGCTGCCAGCGAGGCTGTCAGCGAATTGCCGGACACATCGGTCAATGAATTGGCCCTGCCGGCCGCCGTGGGCACGCCCACCAAGCACATGCTGACGCCGCCCAAATCCAGCGGCGGCGGCCATCGGCGCAATGTCAGCGACACCTCGGCCTTTAACAAGTAAGTGCCACGACCGACTGCGTCAGGCTTTGGCCCACATCTGGTTATCTGTTTGCGTCTGCTCTTCTCTTGCTTTCACTTTCCCACTTTTTGCTTGTGTTCGCTCACCAATCCTCAAGCTAGAGCTACGAATGTCGCTGATGCCCAGCTACAAAGTCAATAAAAACCAAGAGATACCCTGCAGCCAGCTCCCGCAGCATAGTTCATTTCCTGTGCTCCTCATAGCCCACACTTAGAAAAACAGATTTTTAAGTAAAGTCTGGATTTTTTGTTCGATCGTTTTACATATATATATTCAGGGCCTGAGACTAAACCCCTTAGAAATATAATATATATAATAGATCTATAGAGGAAATGTAGAAGAGATATACTCCTTCGGTATGCTTTTTGTGAGAACCTCTTTGAGTCGTGAGGCACCTACTGACTGGTTACATAAATCAGCACAAAACTACTTTATTCCTTTTTAAAAGTTACAGTGTATGCAAAAGTAAGCTTGTGCGTGTTTTCACCATTCCATTTAATTGCTTTGCCCCGCTTTGGTTTCGCTTCCGCTTATCTTCAACGTTCATTTCCATTTCCGTACACTCATAATGCACTATTTTGTTGCGCCCCCCGCAGAACCTTTGCCAATGAGACCAGCCAGTTCCTGGCGCCGTTTAACAACAATATCGCCATGTCTGGCGACGGACCGCAGAATGTGACGTTGGCCAGCGCTGCCTCCAATCCGGGCATTTATGCGAGCAGCAGCGCCACAGCCACATCGCTGTCCAGCAACGAGCTGGCGCGCCAGACCATGGACAAGCGCGTCGAGGCATGGAATCCGTTCGAGGAGGAGCAACCCTTCAGTCAGATGACCGAGGATAACATATTCGAGGCCGAGTTCGACAAAATACGCCAGCGCGGTAGCCAAGGGAGTGAGTAAATAATACAATATAACAAATATTACTCATAAAATGTAAAACTTTCCGTTAGCCTTTCAAGAAGAGCAGAAGATTTATTTAGAGATAATCAGAAAGGTTTCATAAAACCGTTTTCCACCCATTTTTCACCTTTGCGAGTGGAATTTTCAAAAGTTTCGCATTGGGTTTCATTTACATCACAGAGATGAATGCTGTGAAGAAGAGCTTTAAAAATAAGTTACAAAACGAGAGAGATTATAAACTGGAAATGCTTAAATTCTTTAAATTTCCACCTATGTTTCGATCGAATCAAATAATAATCAAAAAATTGAAGATTCAATTCGTTCTAAGAAGTAAATTTTCTGATCCAGAGTGGATTATCCAGAATTGGTTTAAGTAGAGCTATAAAAAAGGTTACATTAAACCGTTTTCCACCCATTTTTCACCTTTGCGGGTGGAATTTTCAAAAGTTTAGCGTTGAGTTTCACACACATCGCAGAGATGAATGCTGTGAACATTTCTGTTTTCAGTAAGGCAATCAGTCAGTCAATCAATCCGTCAGTCAATCAATCAGAACAGTCCGTTTTATTTATAAAGTCACTCATGATTCCTTACCTTTGCAGGCATAACGGCCAAGTCGGCATCCACCACGTCCACACTGACGCCCACGGAGCAGAATGTTGCGGTTCCGGCGGCGGTAGCCAGCGCAACGGTAGCCTTGACAGCTCCGGCTCCGGCACCAGCTGTGGCAGCAGCGCCCGCGGCTGTGTCGCCAAATCCGCCGGCGGCGTTGGCTGAGGATCCGTTCGGCTCGGCGCCGTTCAGCTTGCCGCCGGGTCTGCGCGAGAAGGCGAGCTCGTTGCGCAAAACTGGAGGTAAAGCATGAAATTTGTAAAATTCTTAATGTTGCAAAGCCAGAAATACGTTTAGTTTCTCGATTGTTGCTTTTGTTGCTCTCAATCTCTCTCGATCTAGAAAGTGAAAGTGAATTGAACGTAGACGTAGTCTAAAATACCCATCCACAGTAGAGTAACAGCAACAACAGAGTTACAGCAACAACAACAGCAACAACATCAGCAGCAACAACACCAACAAGAACAACAGCAACAACATCGACAACAACAGCAGCAACAACATCGACTACAACAGCAACAGGGAGAGAATTTCCTCTAACTAGACAAACAGAAAGCGAGAGAATAGTGAGAGAGCGAGAGAGTGTGGGAGTGGGCGAGGGGGTAGTTGTGTGCGAAGGGGGGTGGGGAGAATGTAGTGTGCCATAGATCGAACGACGATCCTCATGTTGCGACAAACCTCCTGTCAAAGCTTACTTAAAAGTGTTCTATATATATATATATAATTTATCCATATATTTTTTTGTAAATATTCAATTGCACTTAATACTAACCAACAAATGTTGTGGATCTACATTTGTTGTATATATACATATTTCTAGTATGTAACAGACAAAAAAGGGTTGACCGAACTAATTTGTCTTTCACTTTACTTTAACCTAAACTTCAACTCCAATCTAAGCGCTTCTAACAAACAAATTTTGGTGCTGGTTCTATGCTAGAGAAACAATTATTAGTAATATATATATATATATATATATATATATATATATTAACAGTAAAAGTAATTAGTGGTTGTGGTTTAAATTAACCAAAACAAATTAAACACCATTTCAATTAAATTAAACTGTACAATTTGCAATATATATGTAGTATATGTCTAATGGCTGCTAATTAGAGTAAATGTTAGCTAAAGCTGTTTATGTAATTGTAACAGCGCTAAAGAAATGCTAGTAAAACTGCTAACAGGCTGGTTAATGTTAAAGTTACAGCGCTGACCATATTATCTCAGCAAATGTTATATTCAAGCTGATTATAGTAATATAACAGCTAAGGCGAATGTTAGTGAAAGCATTAACATAAAATGTTATGCTAGAGCTGTTTATGTTATTTTAACAGCGCGAGCAGTTATTTAAAATGTTCTTTTATAAATATAATTTGAAAATATTGAAAATTATTTGTATTTACTTTGAAGCCCTTCGACATATACTTCATCTTTGGGTCTATCTATTGTAATCTATCATGTGCTCTGTTTCTGTGTGTTTTGTAAACTATATTAAGGCTAAAGAAAATCTTAAAATATCATCAAAAATCAAATGTTTTTTAAGAAATAATTTCCTGCATATCAAATTCATATATATTTAATAAAACTTATTTAAATACTCAAGTCGTGCAATTCTAAAGATTTTAAGCTAAATTACTAAAGATTATTAATAATTAGGGCTTGCTCAAAATCCGAAAATATTTGAATTTAATAAATTTCTTTAACTCATTTTTTATGCTTATCCGAAGTTCGCGTAAAGCTGCGCTCGCTGCGGATGTGGCAGAAGTTAAACAAATCAAATTGAATGCAGAACTATTGTTAATCAATTAATCAATGTCCAATCAATGCTAGACAATATATAAAAGTCCATAGGCAATGCGAGATTTTTCGTTCCTTAAAAAGCGACCACAGCAACAATTAAAACAAATGTTCAATTAGCTATTTAAAAAAAAAAAAAACCCTGTTAATACTTGTACATATACTTAAAACTAAAAATAACAATTTAAACAATTTGAAGTATTATTCCAAAGAGCAAAATTCTAGTTTTAAATCAAAGAAATATATATATGTATATTTAGAAGAAAACAAAAATGAAGCGCAATGAAAGCAACAAAAGTCAGGTTACGATAGTTTGTAAACGCGTATTTAGCCGAAGCAAATCAAACTATCAGACAGATATATATCTATATACATATGTATAAACACACACATATATGAAAGCACTATATATTTATATATAAAAAGTTGGATGAGCCAGAAACGCGGAGCGTTAATTTAAGTTTAAAAAAAAAAAAACAAAACCCAAAACCACAAAGATAAAATTGTATGAACGTTAAGCAGCCTTTTAAACCCGATTTCAAATGCAATAAACAAAAGATAATTCAACGAAAACAAATTTAATTAGCTAACTTAAGAGCTCCAGTGATCGTTCGGGCATAAATCGAATTGTTACACTCAGAAATTGCCTTTTTTCATGCCTTAGAAGTTTCTAGTCCAAATTCAAACAATTTAAATAATTAATTTAACGAAAATATATCATAAAATTGGCATATGGCATACCTAAAATTAACGTAAGAATTATGTATATATAAAATTCTGTTAAAATTCAGCTCGTTCTTGTCTGCGAGCGATCACTGTACTTAAAATTAAATGGGAATTGTTTGAGAATAACTATTTACTAACAACCAAAGGCTATGCACAGGGCAAAAGTATCTTAAAATCTACACAAATTACAAGTTTTCAATCTAGTTTAAGAAACAAAACAACAAATTAAAAATATATTTGTATACCCTAGGAATTGGAATTGGAAATAGGGTTTGCATAACTTTTCTTTTTGGAAAGATTTCTTAATCCAATATATATTCTCTAGTTCGCATAACTTTAATAGAATTTTTTTGTGTTAACAAGACTTGAACAAATCTTTGGGTTAAGCTAATCCAAATTTGCAAATATATATATATTGTTTTATATACAGATAACCATATCTAGCTAGGTATTATTTATGAAAAATTGGACTTATTTGAAGAACAATTCAATTAAATATGTCACAAATGAGATGATATCTTTAATTTGTGTCTTATATGTAGGGTATTTAATGTTCGTTCTATTTGCTATTTGAGAATTTTAGAATTATTTTAAATATTTTCTATAGACCTGTAACTATGTAGAGAGCATGCGGAAATTCGGTTATCTTAGAGTATAGCTCCCATAGAAAAAAGAATACTTTTCTTAAAAGTGTTATTTATAGAGCTCTAATCTTGTCGCCCTGTGCATAGATCCGTAATCAATGTGTCCATAGATCATCGTTAATTCACAGCTCCAAGGATGACATCGAGGAGTCTCTTCGCCACATTTAACTAATCCCAAATATAACACGCACACACACACACACACACACACTCAGCTCATAGATACACACGCATCTAAATATATATACATATTCTATCGTGTAAACTAATCCTGGGACAACTGTCCCAACTATTCATCCAGGCAACGCACCTTAGACTCGAACTAGCTCGTAAACTCATTACCTTACTGCATAAAAGTACTTGATCTCGTTCACAGCCAAATTCATTGTGAGCTGCTCCTCGGGCGGTGGCACGCCCAGCATCACGGCGAGCACTGGCAATGCGATGATCTCATCCAGCTCGTCCAAGTGGCTGCTGTCGCCCACACTGGAGGAGGACAAAACCTCGCTGTTGAGCCGCTTGAAAACCGATTCCGATGGCCTCGGTCTGCGCGAGAGCGAGGGCTGCGTCGGTGGCGGAGCTGTCTCCACGTCGGGCTTTGTCAAGCTGCCGCTGGAGGATCGCAACAAGTATGAGAAGCTGCGCAGCAACGATCAGCCCACATCCGATGACTCCGATTCGGAGTTCTTTCAGCAGGATAGCGACGATGGCGGCGGCGGCGGCGGTGGTGGAGTTGGAGGCAGCGCCAAGAAGGCGGCCATCTTCAAGCAGATCGTGACGAGCAACATACCGGAGACCATACACAAGATCCAGCAGGTGGCCTACCAGAAGGTGGACAAGACAACGCACTTGCCCATTGTGAAGAAGTTGCGGCAAACGGCGACCACAAAGCGACCCTCATCGTCGGCACAGCAGGCGGCGCAGCAGCTGAATCTGATGGCCGCCGCGGTGGCTGCCCAGGCTGCGCAGGCGGAGGCGGCGGCAGCTGCCCAGGCGGCGGCCAGTGTGGAATCGGACGATGATGATGCCGATTCCATTGGCTCGGCCAGCGATTTGCGTGCCGAGGATGATGATCTATTTGATGAGAATCCCCGTCATGCAGCACAAGCCAAGCCGCGTCGTGTTCTGCCCTTGGACATGGACGGCATCAGCGAGAGCGTCAAGACGTGCAGCAGCTCGGCCTACCATGCCGAGTGCGAGAGCGTCACCACGCACGAGGACGATGTGCGCAGCCGTGTCGTGGTCAAGGTGCGCCTGCGCAAAAAGGATCGTTTCGCAGCGGTGGCCGCGGCGACAGAAGCCAGCACCGGCTGTGCGCCCGTCAACGAGGAGCTGAGTCCCACGTCCAGCGATCTGCTGCATAAATTCGGTGATCGGCCGCTGCTGCTGGACGATGAGCTGGACTATGGCTCCGCGGAGAGCAAGAGCAGCACTGAATCCGCGCCAGCGGCGGCGCCCGTTGTTGAGCCGGCTGAGGATGAGCTGGATGTGTTTGCCATGGCACCATTCAAGCTGCCCGTGGGCAAACCGCCCAAGCGTGTGGCCAAGCCAAAGCTGGCGCGGCACAGGCCCAGCGAGCCGGAAATGTGGACCTCGACGCCGGTTAAGGGTGCACAGGGCGAGACGCCCGCCAGCCAGGCGGCCAATTTTGCCAACTTTCCAGCGCAGCAGGAGCAGCTGCAGCCGGCACAGCAGCAGCAGCTGGATGAATTCAATGAGCCCATCTTTAATCCGTTTATCGAAACGCCAGCGAAGGAGCAGCAGCAGCAGCAACATTTGGAGGAGCAGCGCGATCTCTTTGGCTCGGAGCCATTTCCGCAGGTAATACGCAAATGTGTTGTTGTCACGCCCGACTATCCCAGCCACAACCACAACAACAACAACAACATTGTGATCAAAGTGAATGCTCCTGTTCCTGCTCCTGTTGTGACCATCAATCATTCGATTATAATCAATAAAACGCCCGAGCCGCTGACCAATCACAATCCCAACTGCTCCACCACCAGCAGCAGCAGCTCCTGCACCACCACAACCACGACCTCCTCCACCACCGCCGCAGCGAACAGCAGCAGCAGCGTCTATGTGAATGTGCCCGCCATGAGCAGCTCCTGCAGCAGCATTCCCTTGCCCGCAATCAGCACACTAATCCCGCCGGCACCGACTCCACCGCCAGCAGCACACTTGCAGCCACTGCTGGCCATTGCCGATAATGGTTTTGTCCAAATCTCTCAAGAACGCTGCTCGGACTTCACGCCCGACGACGAGGAGGAGCCCGTGGTGTTGCGCGCTGCCGACCTGGTGGCAGATGGCGAGACGGCGTCCGGCATTAAGCCGAAGAAGGAGAAGTCCCATTTGGCTGTGAGGGCATTGCCGGCCAAGCTAACCCAAAAGGTCAAGGGTCATGCCTATAAAAAGGTCAGCGCCGGCGCACTGGGCTCCACATCATCCCTGAGCTCCGGCAGCAAGCAGAAACACCAGCGCCTCCAATATCAATCGCACGACGACGATGACGATGACGATGTCAAGGTCGCCCAGGATGAGAACAGTCGTGGCAGCAACACTCGCAATTCGCAATTCCAGTCTAATACCATACAGAACTCGGCCAAGACGGGCTTCAGCAACATGAGCTTTGAGGATTTCCCATCGGATCAGGAAATCGATCGCATGTCCAAAACGATTCCATTCGAGGTTGTGCGCAAGGAGAAAATGCTGCTCGAGGCGGAAAAGAAATTTGGTTCGCTCAAGCGACGCAACAATCTCTTTTCCTAAGTGAGAGCGAGCGAGAGAGAGAGAGAGAGGGAGAGAGAGGGAGAGTGCGGGCCCACCCGGTTACAGTCGTGGCTGTGCTTATCGGCACGCTGTTATCAGTGCGCGTGGAAAATTCCTATAAAAAAAAAATAATATAACAGAGTGTAGACTGAGATAATGTTTTTAAAATTGGCATTGGCTTCTACTTTTCTCTCAGTGTGCGTATTTACTCTATTTTTATTTGATTTTGTTATATTTATGCGTATTTTTTATACTTTTATCAGCAGCCGCCACAGTTACATACACAAAGACACACTCACACACACACACACATACACACGCAATTAACTTCCATGCACGTAGAGATATACCTACATATATATATAGAACATATATATATACATATATACCGTTCCAAGCGCAGATCATGTATTTTTTGAGCATAGTATTTCTCTGGCCATTTTTAAACCAGAGCTCAAAACTCCGATAGAAAAAAAAAAAACAAATACTAAAACAGCTAACCTAAAAATTGCAAAAGATATATAACTAATATTATAGCTGTTATTTAGTGCAAAAATAAACTGTAAATTAGTTGTAGCACATTTGATCAGATGTTGCAAATGAATTATATAGAATTTATACGATTGCGTAAGTTTACCAAAGTTACATTTATTTGTTTATTGCATTTTCCAATTGATTTGCTTTATCAAATGCACACTATTATTTATTTATACTTGTATGCATACATATATACAAAACATCAATGTGATTATAATACCCTAACACCCAAAAAAAAACAAAAACAAAAACAATGATCAATTAAACAACAAGAAAATATTTACTAACAAAGCCGTTTGAATATGGCCACAAATATTTCAATGAAATTCGTACTCACTTTGTTTATGAATATGTATTATTATCGACTGTATAAAATATATATATATATATATTATACTCGGCGAATAAACTTGTTTCACAATAAATAAAAGAGTAAAGCTCTGCTACTTTTTTGGGCAGCCACTGTAAATGCTAGCCGTAACGTTTTGCTGAACGCCACTGTTCCCATTTGTACCCTCAAAACAACAACAACATCAAGTGTAAACAGTAATCAGCTGTGCCGCGGCAAGCATGTGTGCGTGTGTATGCGTGTAAGTATGAATGGGAATGCGAGAAAATATAAGAAAAATACCGTACAGTTCTTGCGTATAAGTAGAAAAGTTGCCAACAACGTTTAAGAAACTTGGAAAAAAAAAAAACAAGCGAGCGTCGAGCAAAACAACAAAACATAAATCAAGATATCAGCAAAATTCACAATATCACGTACGCTCAAAAGTAGGTAGAACCGTGGCGAATCACGCAAATCGAGTTTATAAATTATATACATATATTATTTATATGCAGTCGCAGCTCTCACGTAGCCCAAAATTGCAAGATGCTGCCCGCCTTTACCGGCAACTGGAACCAGGTGAAGGAGAAGCCGCGCATTTTGGTCAAATGCGGCGGCTTCTCGAGCCAATTGGCGCGCAACGTACAGGAAAAGGTAGACGGTGACCCACTGTGGGGCTCACGCTTCGATGCCACCCAGCCGGCGGCCGTGGTGAAAACCCATTTGGACTTTCTGCGCAACGGCGCCGACATCATACTGACCAACACGTACCAGTCCAGCGTGGAGGGCTTCATGAAGCATCTGGGCAAGTCGCGCGAGGAGAGCATCGAGCTGATTGCCAAGAGCGTGCATCTGGCGCGTCAGGCCAAGTCGCAGCACCTGGGCGAACTGGCCACCAGCAATGGCAACATTGCGCCCGACATGCCCTGGATTATGGCCTCGATCGGACCGTACGGTGCCCATCTGCACGACGGCTCCGAGTACGCGGGCAGCTATGCGAACCTGGTCAACTTCACCCAGCTGCAGCAATGGCACACGGTGCGCATCGATACGTGCCTAAGTGCGGGCGTCGATGGCCTGGCCGTGGAGACGCTGCCCTGCCAGCTGGAGGCGATGGCCGTCACGGAGCTGATACTCAGCCGATATGCCACGGCACGCTTCTGGGTGTCCTTTCAGTGCAAGGTTAGTTTCGTTTTGTTGTATTATGATTCACATTCAATCTGCCCACTTTCTTTGCAGGATGCGAGCAGCCTGGCCCATGGCGAATCCTTTGCCCAGGCCGCCATGGCCGTTTGGCGTCTGGTGCAGGAGTTCAAGGCGCAGTCCCGCCTGCTGGGCATCGGTGTCAATTGCGTGAATCCCAGCTATGTAACGCCGCTACTCAAATCCCTGCTGGCCATCACGCCGCCGGATGAGAATATACCGCTGGTCGTCTACAGCAATCGTGGCGAGATCTATGACAGCGAGCGCGGCGAGTGGACGGGCAACGGCCTGAATGTCACATCGTTTGTACCTGAATGGATCCAGCTGGGCGCACGCATCATTGGCGGCTGCTGTCGCGTCTATCCGGACGATATACTCGAAATACGCAACACGATCGACAAGATCGCACAGCAGCCCGATTCGCCAATACAAACCTCCCTAGTTTCTTGTTAATTGTGGAGTGTGCGTGGCGTGCTTCTGTATATTATATTCATTCATCTCGGCCTAGACCTATATATATATAGTATATATAAATATAAGTGTTCCTAACTGTACGAGAGTCGAGCTCAAAATTTGCCAGATTCAGCAGATTAATGTCGCCAAGCACACCGTTTTATATATATATATATATATATAGATGCTATATTTGAATTATTCGGTTCCAAAGGGTATCATTATCTTATAAAGATTCCATGAGCTCTACTCTTATATACCTATATATATGTATATATAGCATGGCATTGACCATATGTCGCTTACTATGCAAAAAAAAAGTTGCCCAGCTTTCAAGCTAGCGCTTATAAACTTGACCTAGATCCCAGATCTGGATCGGAGCAGTATATTATCGTATTTTCATATTATATAGTTATATTATACAGCTGTCGTAGCAACTGTCGATTAAGCATTTAGTTCAGAATAACTTATCTTTTACAAGCTTGATTATGCTGCACATGATCAGAATCTTATCATGGGCTAGCTATGTTATACATATATATATATATATATAGATACGGGTCTATGTATATATATATATATATATATATATACCTATAAGAACAACTTATTCCCCAGTTCTTAGTCCCTTAACATCCACTATATCATCTAGTTTCAGGTCACATATATCATATACCATAGAAACGATCGATCAAAAGGCAATATCTTAGGCCAAACTTCATCTAAGCATCGAAATAGGGTATTTAAAGTTCGGCACGCCGAAATTAACTACTACTCTTTGCAGTTTTTGCTCCGTTTTGAGTACATTTGGGAATGGCTTAAGCCATATGTCCGGCTGTCCGGCTCACACGATCAGGCCAAGGGTTATCAAGGCAGACAACGCCGACTCAGACGGAATCTGGACATGGTTAGCACCCGGATCGATAGTTTTCCTATGATACGCTTATTTAAGCGGAAAGTAATGCCGCAATCGATGCCGGCTGGTGAATGCCCCTTCAATTGGCTGGATGGCAATTGCATCAGATACTTTCGGTTCAATCTGTCTGCCTGGCAGCTGGACGTCGAATCAGAATCTTATCACTAGGCCGGGCGGGCGTTCGGTTGGCTTGTTTTGTTTGGTTTTGGTTTTGTTTTGTTGAAAGTTTTGCATTTGTACGTTTTTTGTTTCGTACTTTCGTGATAAGCACATCGCTATAAAAGCAACCAGACGGCATTGTAAACCACTTAAACGCGCATAGAACGTCCACGGCACATAATATCAGCTCCAGACTGAACGGAATTTAATATTATTTGTTTTCCAAGCACACACAACACGTTGTTGTTCGCCTCGTCTCGCACAAATAAAAACAATTTAATCAATTACAACATCTATTTATAAGCTTTCAAGGTGAGTCTTCACAAAGTCGTGTCTAGAGCGGAGCGCGTGCTCGTGTCTGCTATCGTGTGGAAAGCACGCACGACGTGCGCGTGCTTAAAGCAATATATAATCAAATATGGGGCACATATATAATAAAAGTCGAGCTAATTAATTAGTATATCAAAATATTGCTATTAAAAATTAATTATTAAATAAAGAAAGCCCATAGAAAACAGGGAGAAACGTTCAGAATGTAGCCGACTGCTTAATACTCTGCTAACAATTTAATTAAAGCCGAAAGCTGCTCAAAAATAGCTTTTCCGAATGAGAGGATCGTGATTATAAATGCAATCCCGCTTTATAAGGGTCCAAAAATAGAGTTTTTAAAGTATAGCAAAGTCGTGTTTATTTCGTGCTCGTGTTAGACAAACACGTGTCACGCGCCTAACTCCAGTCGTGAGTGCACCAAAAAATCTTCCACAGCCGAGATTTGGGTATTAAGTTAAGTTAAGTTCATTAAACTCTGCCCGCAATGGTGTTAAAAAAAAAACAAGGTTATCGGGTAAATAGTTTGAACTACAATGTATTGCTTATAATTGTTTTAATAATCAGTGAGCAGCACAAACAAGTCGTGCGTTTAGGCAGGTGTCCAGACTCGCACTCGGCACAAAGAGCGCTCCGGCCCAGCTGTGCTGTGCTGTGCCGTGCTGATAAGCGCAATTACAGCGATGTAAAGCTGTGCGCGTCTCCTATCTGCAGTAGGTCGACTATTGATATATGTATATATGGAATAACCCGCCATCAAAACTGGCCCTTCCTTCCCGCAGCACATTCATTTAATCATGGGCTCGACGCGTTTGCTGGTGAAAGATGGCGGCTTTGGCACACAGATGACCGTGCATGTGGGCAATTCTGTGGACGGGGATCCGCTGTGGAGTGCTCGTTTCAATGCCACAAATCCGACAGCTGTCATAAATACACACTTGGACTTTTTGCAGAGTAAGTGTGTATGCCACAAAAATATATTTCGCTTGGCAACAAACTGATTGAACGCCACACGCCGTTAGATGGCGCTGATTTGATATTGACCAACACCTATCAGGCGAGCGTCGAGGGCTACATGGAGTATCTGGAGCTGGACGAGCAGGAGAGCATCGAGCTGATCAAGAATACGGTGCGACTGGCGCACATTGCCAAAGAGAAGTACCTGACGGAATGCTACGAGGCACAGCTGGCGGTGCCCGAAGGTTAGTATGTTTTTTCCATTCCATTATAAGATGTGTTCGCAATTCCATGAATGTTTGATCCTTTAAAAGTGAATGGTTAGATCAGAACAAGCTTTGCCAATCATATTTGAATTGGGATCGAAGCTTTTCTCACAGTGTACTTGTTTATATTAATGTACTTGCCTAATCGCTAAATCTTGGACTCTGCTCTTACAGGTTTCCCGCTGATTATTGCCTCGATTGGACCGTTTGGCGCACATCTGCACGATGGCTCCGAGTATACCGGCAGCTATGCGGACTATGTGGAGGCGAAGACCATAACGGATTGGCATCGCGTTCGCATCGAGGCGTGCCTGGAGGCGGGCGTCGATGCGCTGGCCATAGAAACGATACCCTGTCAAATGGAGGCCGAGGCGCTGGTAGAAATGCTCTGCGACGATTATCCCGAGGTCAAATTCTGGGTGGCCTTCCAGTGCAAGGATGAGAGCACGCTGGCGCATGGCGAAGACTTTGCCGAGGCAGCCAACGCCATTTGGGATATACTGCGCGAGCGCAAGGCCCTGGACAAGTGCCTTGCATTGGGAGTTAATTGTGTGCATCCCAAGTTCGTGACGCCGCTGTTCAAGAGCCTGAATGGCGAGCGCAGTGCCGACGAGCAGATACCTTTGGTGGTCTATCCGAATAGCGGCGAGGTTTACGATGTGGCGACCGGCTGGCAGGGACGGGAGCATTGTGTGCCGCTCGAGAACTATGTGCCGGAGTGGACACAGTTGGGTGCCAAAATCATTGGTGGCTGTTGCAGGACCTACGCACGTGACATTCGACGCATTAGCGAGGCGGTGCACGCCCTAAACAAACTCAAGAAAGCTGCCTGAGATCCTGGAAAACGGATCGGTGGATCTCGCTGTTTAGAACAAAATGCATTTGATTTAGGTATTCATGAATATAGGTATTTAGAATGTAAGTAAAAAGTGTAGCAAAACTTTTGTACAAAATGTCACACAACAATAAATAAACTAAACTTTTACTCTAAGAAATTATAGTTTAAGATTTTCGACCATGACCAGGTCAGTGTAACGGCGCCAAAAATATCGAAATTAATCGAAAACGCGTGATATCGCCATTCACCGCGAAGTTGAGTGTCGAATTCATTAAGTTGGCAGCACCGCTCGAATGACATTCGCAAAAACGCCGCGACCAGGAACAAGCTTGCGAAAAGTTGTAATAAAATTAAATTATTAAATTAATTGGTATTCTGGAAAGCCGAACACACACACACTACAACAATGTTGATTAAAGTGAAGGTAGGGCTAAATTTGGAATATATATTATCATGCCAAAGCGGCTAGAATAAGGCCCCGCCAACCATGCGTCAGCTTTGGCGCACAACAACAAAATATGACTGCAATCGAAATTTGCCAATAATTATATTTTTGTTCTAACAGACACTGACGGGCAAGGAAATAGAAATTGACATTGAACCCACAGATAAGGTTGATCGCATCAAGGAGCGTGTCGAGGAAAAAGAAGGCATACCACCGCAACAACAACGTCTCATATTCTCCGGCAAACAAATGTGCGTCACACAGCCGAAGACAAACTAAAATAAGAATTTTGTAATTTATTTTCTTTGTTTTTGTATAGGAACGATGACAAAACGGCGGCGGATTATAAAGTGCAGGGCGGCTCAGTGTTACATTTGGTGCTGGCTTTGCGTGGCGGCGAAAATCAACTAACTCAAAATTAGACTGGCGCCGGCGTGTTGAACTCGTCTTAGTAAATTGGTAACCCCATTAAGTCATTTTCTACAAAGCACTTTCATGTTACTCAAATAAAAGCCGTCAACGGTATTTACATATATATACGAAAATACATATATTTAGTTTAACCTTGCATAAATGCATAACTCAACTGCGGCGCACATAACGTCCGACTAGCAAATGATTCTTTGGCGTGCACTGTTCCGGCTTGAGGCGTGTGAGTATCACCTGGTAACCGGCCTCCTCCGCCTGCAGTTTACGATCTGTGTCCACAATACACATGCAGTGCAGTCCCTGCAGCGTTGTCTCCGGCTTGCAATTGCTGGTGCCCAATTCGTGAGCCTGATCCGCCGTGTGGGCTATGTACAAATAATCTCGCGTATCGAGCACCTCACGGAAGCGTGCACTCAGTGGATAGGCAATGTGTGGCATGGGCTGCAGCGAGCCATAACAGCAGGGACAGCACACGAAACACGCATTTACCCGCTGGCACTGCTGCAGGACAATGTCGGTGGCTGTGCCGCAGGCGTGCAGCGAGGCGCCTATATCGAAACGGCCCATAAAATAGTCAATATTGCACTGGTAGAAGACGCAGTTGTTCAGCTTAAGCTCGGCCGCACGCTTTTGAGCGTGCGCCAGCGAAAAGGCCTTGTTTTCCAGCACAATCACCGTGCACTGGGGCAGCTTGAGGGCTAGGAGTATGGCCAGATGGCCGGTGCCGCTGCAGAAGTCAACAATGCGATCGCCGGGCTGTGCCAGTGAGACGACCGCATTGGCCATATTTTCCAGCTGCTGACGCTTGCGCTCCAGACGCTCTGCCGGCAGCGCTGAGCTCTTGGCATGCGTGGGCTCAATGACCTGCCAATCGATCAACTGCTCGCCATAAGAATGCTCCGAGTCGGCGCTAAAGTGCAGCTGCAGTGGCGTGAGCTTGGCCAGCGCTGCCTCCACTTCTGCCTGGCTGGTGTATATGCGATTGCGCGGCCGATAACGCTTCGGATCGGCTTTGTACAGGCTGGCCTCCTCGCAGTCGGGTATGCTCAGCAATTGTGTGTTCTCCGCCGGCGCCACCAGCATGGGCACATACAACTCGTGCAGGATGCGCGCACAGTTTGTATCGAAGCTGTCGATCTGGAAGAAAATCGAATTAACTTCAAATGGATGCAAATAAATGTTATTCCACGCACCTCACTGAACCAGGTGCTGGTGAGCGGAAAATGCGGCAGCATCTGGGCGCAATGCTGAAAGACTAGACGCAGCAGCGGATAGAGTATAAGATCGGCTATTGTAAAGCTAATGCCCTCGGCGAAACGATGTTCGATCAGCAGCTGCTCCTTGGGTATGCTGCATTCGATGAGCACACGCTCCTTCCGCTTCACAGGGACTCCGTATTCTGTTTGATTTGCCTGCTCTCTGGCCAGCTTGTAGATGTTGTGCATGCGCACCGGCTGGTTCATGTGCTGCTCAAAGCGCACCACCTCGACGGGCACCTCGCGCAACTGCAGCTCCTCACCTTGCAGCTGGCTCACCAGATTAACCATGTCCACTTCACAGAAGCGTGTCCATATGGAGGCCTCCGCTGGCGCCAACAGGCAGCTGCCCTTGAAGCCCAACAGTTGGCGTAAATGCGCACTGGGCTGGCGTGCAATGAGCTCCCGGCAAACGGCACAGGTGCCCGCAATGAAGATGTTTCCATCACGCTCATAGATGGGCAGACGTAGATCCCGGAGGGCGGGCAGGGTGGCGGCCTCGCGGCATGTGATATGCTGATCGGTCAGTTCGCGTCGCAGCTGAGAGCTACGTAAAGCTATTTTGCCAGTACTTATTTTACTGGCCACAAAGTTGACTTTGATGTTTTGAGGCTCCTTAAGGTAGCGATATGTGTAGAGCGCTAGGAACGAAGGCACGCTGGTGTATATGGTTGTTTCAGCCTTTTGAGTGCTTAGCTCAATCTCCACATACAGTTGATCCATAGTTTAATTGATTTAACTAAGCATTTAACTAAGGAGAATTAAATTAAAACACAAAATCAATTCAAACACAAAACCAACAAAAAAAAATTAAATCAAAGTGCGTTTGAGGTTATGTGCAAAATAAATAAAAACAGCTGTTTGCAACGGCACAAGAAGCAGCTGACTGCCATTCACCTGTCCGCGCGAGTTGCCATTTTTTGAATTACTTTTCGATTGATTTCGCTATTGCTTTGTTAATTAGCTTTTTATTTTGTTTTTGTTGCGCGCACACTTAAATACGATTTATTTTTATTGCGCCGCTAAATACACAAATTATGAATTGTGCAACAACTGAATGCAAGCAGCTCACGCGTTTCTCTATATATTCAAAGCCAGCGCTTGGGCTGTGCTCACCGTTGTATCGAGCCAAAAAGTAAACGTTAGTTTAATTTGACCAGTTGTACGAAACAGGTGCGTTTTTTGCTTGCCGAAACTCGAATTATAAGTACATGCTTGAAACTTCTGTATTGTTGCTAACTAATTTCCATAATTAACAATCAGCTGTGCGTGCGTGCGTGTGTTGTGTTTGTTATACGTATGTATGTACATGTATCTATGTGCGTGCGTATGTGCATATGTATGTGCGCCTGCCCAGTGGCAAATGCAGCGCAGTGCAAGTGCTACAATGCGGCGTATGAGCAACAAAACTGCATTAGAGTCAAGGTCAGCGGCTGGCACGCTCATTCATTCAATTTTTAAAGCGGGAACGGAAAAACTTCTAACAATTATTATATAATTGTTCACACATATTAACGCATTTATAATCAGCTCTCTCTCTCTCTCTCTCTCTCTCTCTCTCTCTCTCTCTCTCTCTCTCTCTCTCTCTCTCTCTCTCTCTCTCTCTCTCTCTCTGTCTGTCTGTCTTTCCCATTCATTCAAGCAGCACTTAAAATGCGCAATACTCCCTCTACACTTAAACAAAAAAATAGTAAAAAGGAAAGTGTTCTAGTTGGGAGTGTCCGATTAGAAAATACCCTGCATCCAGTTGCATTTTTGAATTATTCCAGAAAATTTATTCATAAACAATTTTATTAAATTTCCTTACAGGGCATAAAGCTGTAAATCAAATATGTGCATATATATTTGATCAATAATACATAGATATGTAAATTATAAGATCAAAGACAGCTAAAACTAACTTCTGGCTAAAGCTAACTTCTGGCTCTTTTTGCAACATTTAAATAGGTACAGGGTATGGAAAGCAATTAAATAAACATATTGCACAATTGTTTGTTCTATGCAACTTGTAGGCTAGTTTATTTTACAGCTCAATTGAGTTTGTTTTGTCTGGCAATTGCCAGCACTTGATAGTTGCTGATTTATACTATTTAAATGGCAAGTAGGGCGTCCTAATCGCTTGCAAGCCAATCTATACGATTTCTACATATGTGCATGTGTATATTAATGCAGGGTATTAATATGTGGAGTACATTGATTAACGTTGAGTTCATTTAATTGAGTGCGATCACGACTTAAAGTTTGTTTATTTTGCGACCCGGTTGGGCAATGTTGATAAACAAAACAAGAAAGTAGCAAAAAAAAAGAGAGGGTATTAAAAAATGAAGTCCCTGGGCTAAGGAGAGGGGAGTGGGGGCCGGGTAACAATGTAGCCGCGTCGCAATCAAATTGTAAACATTAAAAGGTTATAAAAAATTAAATAAATAACAAAAATTAGCTGGGTAAATGAAACAGGCGCGACACACACACAAACGCACCCACACGCACGCAAGCACGCACACACACACAGTACAGTAAGATATGAAGAAGATGTTTACGTCGACGTCGACGTCGACGCCGACGACGAACTCGTTTCAATTGAAGCGCTGCGTCCCCGCGTCGTCCCCCAATCAGAAATTCAATTCATTTCGCTTCTGAGCGCAAAACCGAGCACATTTCGATCGTGCCAACATCATCGCGTGTATTCTGATCTGTTTCTATATACTTCTTTTTTTTCATACTCTGTTCACAAAGTGTTAAAAGGCATATTAGTTGTAACTTGAAACTTCAACTATACAAAATTGTAAGCGATGGATTTCAGATGATAAATAGATTCTGATGAGCTGCTCCACATTTATTGCAGTCGTCTTCAGTCCTCACATAAATTCAAATTTACTATAGTCACAGTTTTAAAGCTCTGCCTTACAGTTTTGGAGCCGCTGTTCCTATAGACAAGCTAGCTGTGCTTTGCCCTGGCTTAAACTGTAACGGTATCAGCATAAACTCAAAGCACATTTTGAGAGTCACTGACTTACAGTTTTAGAGCCTTGCTTTTTTGCGAAGCAAAGACTCTTCGTCCTGCTCTCACACTGTGAACAGAGTATTCTGCAGTCAAGGGCAGCCGACTGCCACGTTCTGAAATACTTTTTATTTTTTCGTTGCATTCCGATAAAGTCAACAACAACAACAACAACAATTGGAACCCAAAATGGAGCAATGGAACAATGTGGAGCTGACGAGCATTACCAAAAAGTCGTACACACTGAATCACGACTACGATGGCGCCGAAAGGCTTAACAAGGTCAACGAGACGACGGGCACGGCGGGCACGGAGGACACGGCAACAAATGGCAATGGCAACGGCAACGTCAGCAATCCGCCGGAGAGCAATGTTGTGCTGCAGCCCGGCTCGGATATCAAGCCCAAAATGCAGCCGGAGCATGTGGAGCCGCTGGTGCGACGTCTCTACGGCATCACCATCAGCGAGCTGAAGGAGCTGAATGCCTACGATGATCGCAACTATCTGATACAGGAAGATTGGTGAGTGGCATTAAGAGTATATGTATTCGGCAAGCCAAATATTAAATACCCTTGCGAAAACTCTACCGATTTCCGAAAGCTGAGCTGCGAACCAGCCGAAAAGATGTCGCTGGTTCGGTTCACGATTCGAGCCAATTGCCTGCCTTTCTATTCGGTTCTTGAGCCTAGTTATCCACATCATTGAGCCCTGTTTTTGGTTCATATATATTCCGAATTTTAATTTCCATTCGATTTTAAATTTGTTTTTAACTGCCCGCTGTACTGAAAATATTGCAACTCGTAAATATTTTCATATACAATTTGCGCGCTATATTTGATTTCTGCCCAAAAATGTGATTTACCAAAGATGATTGGATAAATGTATTAAAGGGCCTACCTCCTAAGTTTTTAGCCAAACCTGTTAGGAAAAGTTAACCAAAAACAGGCTTAAATATTTTTGAACTGTATATCTCTAACTCTCTAGTTCTCTAGTTCTCAAAACCTGAGAGATATACTCTCGAGAGATATATGTATACGATAGTTAAGCTGTCTCTAGTTCTCAATTCTGCCTAGGCACCTTCTAAAGAGACGTAGAATCGGAGGAGTCAGAATTCGAAGGTATCATCCAATCAATCTCTCAGATTGATTTATATAATCCCCCTATCTCAAAACCTTAGAGATAACCTCTTGAGAGACGTATGCGAGAGTCTTATATGTCGAATTGGATGTTTCTTGCTAGAGTATTAATAAATCGATTTTTATAGGTTCTACTTCGAGACCCCTATTCAAAATGTCTCTAGCTCTTCTTGATGCTACGTAAAATAGATTGATTACCTTTTGTTTCCTTTTGCCAATTACATACGTTCCACAAAACCTTCTACTTATTCCAACAACTCTAAATGGGTTCGACTTATATATAAACATTCTTTCGTATCGGAACCACCTCCTCATACAAAATAGATCGTAACAAAAGACTGTAATATACTCTGTTAGAGTATAAAAACACAAAAGGTAAATGTTTGCTCTAAGCGGCGAGGGGGGGTCTCTAAACACATACACATACACACACATTTTAGTTTATTTATAGCGAGATATTAATTAAAGTTAGTCAGTCGTGCGGGGGCCAATTGAGCTTGACGCAGTTGCGGCCTCTGTTTTTGTTGCTGTTGTTGTTGTTGTTGTCGGTCACCTTGACAGCAGCCTCTTTTGTTATCTGGAGACGGGCTAACATTTGGCTGTGGGCGCATCTCTTCCAAATCATATGACAGCGCACTTTATTTTATAACAGCCCGTATCCGATTGCAGATCCTAACCTTAGCTAACCTAGATATTATTCTAAGGGAGTCAAAGATTTAAAGCCCTTGCAGTTATCTGGTAAAGGCATGTAAATAGATCTATGCCAGATTTCATGAAGGTTTCATTCTTTGTGATTCATTCAATAATAATTGTCTTTTACTTGAGTTGATATTTAAAATGGGGCAGTATTATGCATGCACAGCCTTAGTCTTTAAATAGTTAATTAATAAATATTTTAAACATATTGCCAACAATTAACTTAAAAAAAAAGGCAGCTTATTTGAGAACGCTTCGTTTTTGAAATCCAAACGCGCTGAGCTTGGTTTGATTGTCGCCGAGTAAGGCGGACTTCGTCTTCGTCTTCTTCGTTCTCGGCTTGGACAGACCCACGCGGCGGGCGCTTGTCGCCAGCTTTAGTTGGGGTTTTGCGGGCAGCGCAGCCTCTTGACTGCTCGGCAGCGTTGCGCTTTGCGAGCTGGTGTCCTCATCCGAACCGGAGGAGGCTAGCAAAACGATGTCGTCGTCGTTGTGATTGTTGTTGTTTGCGTCGTTTACAGCTGTTGCACTTGTTGTGGACTCCAGTTCCAGTTCCGGTTGTGCCTTTTTTTCGGCAACTACTTTTGGCTCCGAATGTGGCTCTGGGGCTTGCGCGCTGAAGAAGCGACTGCGCACCTCCACCTGCGGCTGTTCCTTGGCAAAAATGCTGCGCTTCAGCGCATTCACACGCTTCGCCTCAGGCCTGGCTGGCTCTTCGGCTGACCTCAGCGGACTGACTAGACGCAGCAGTGATGCATTTTCACACACTGCCGGCGGATGTTGCGTTGTCTCAATGGCAAACGGATTGTGCCGACTTTTACTCTGCACGGGCGATGGCGGCGGCGTCGAGTTGCTACCGCTCCTGCTCGGACTACGTTTGCGTTTAGCCTTGAAGCTGTACAAGCTGAACAGCTCGGCCTCTGTGTGCTTCGCCTGCTCTTGGCGCTGATTGGCCTCAATCTCGGACTGTATGGTCTGGCCAACGAAGTCCACCTTCTTGAAGAACAGCGCGCAACTTGTGGGTTTTGGCTGCGTCGTTAGCTCAACTTCATGTGTATTGTTCGAATGTGCTTGCCAAATACTTTTGTGCTTGGTGCGTTTAATGTGCTTTGCTGACGCTGTCTTCGAGTCAGTCGCTTTGTCCGGATGCCAATTGTCCAAGCTCTTCAGCGTAAAGGGATTTAGATTGCCCAAGGCCAGATGGAGTGCCTTTTCGTTATCCGCCAGCAATGAGCCCGCATTGCTGCAGTGGCCTTCCTCGGTTTCATGATCCTCCAGAGCGCTCAGTCTTTCCATGCGTCGCTCTAGCGGATTGTAGATGTACATGTGCTTGAAAGTGGCCTCCGCCTTCATGAAATTCTCTATGTAATCATCATCCACCTGACGAATATTTAAGAACTACAATCTGAAACAAGTCTTATTTGATGCTCCGCACTCACCTCCAGATTACGCATGTTGAGATATTGTGGGATTTTCTTCAATGCTATGCGCATATCGTCCTGTTCCGTTTTAAGCATAAACTTACATGCCTTGGCCAGGCCAATGCCCGGCAACGAGTCCAGATAGTCGCAGCCGGACAATATGCACATGCGCCGAAATTTATCGAACCGATAGCGCTCCTTGGTACAGCCCATGGCCAGGTGAAACTTCTCGGCCTCGACTAGCAGGCCGGCACCATTCAGGTCCAGCTTAAAGATTATTCTCTGTGCACCGAACAGCGTCAGATCCGAGTCTTCTGTAACTATATACTGTGCAATGCCCGCCTTGTTGAGCCAGGCCATTTGTGCGTCCGCCTCGTAGGGCGCCACAATGCAGTCAATGTGTCGCACGCGGCACTCCTGGATGAGACGCAGCGCCATCTCGTGTGTGACATCCACACAGCGCCGCATTTGGGAGCGTGCCTCATCGGTGCGACCCAGTCGCAACAGTTCCATGGCGCGTTTTTTACTTTGCTGGCGCGATTCGCGACGCCGTTGTTCGGTGAGCGCCTTGGCCGGCAAATGTTGGCCATCGAACACCAAAATGGGCTTAATATTGTAGGAGAGCAGCATGTGCACATATTTCAGGCAATACTGCACATAAAGATCCGTATCCTCGCCGCGGGCAAGTTTGTCGGCGCAGCTGAAGACACCTTTGTGCAGCCAGCAGTAGGTGTCCACGGCAACGGTGCTGCCGCTCAGATCCTTCAAGTGCACCTTGGCCGACGCCTTCTCCAGAAAAGGTATCAGCCCGGTTATGCCCATCACAAACGCTTAACACTAATTATTAATATTGAATGTAAACAAATCACAGCTCTAGAAGCAACAAAATCAACCCCAATGATTCCCGCCAAAAAAAAGAAAATCATGCTTCTTCATGTCTGCTGCCATTCACCACGAATGTGGTGGCTAATTGGCGCCATCTTTACCATGTTTACCAACACTGCAAATAATTTTATTTTAAAAAGTTTGAAACGCTTTTTGTTTTTCTTTAAATTTATATTTGTATTTAGCAATGTTAAGAATCCGCTGATTGTGTCGCACAGCGTTCATGGTTATGTGCTGAAAATTCTCAACGCTTTGGATTCAAAAAAGGAGGAATTTGTGGACGCCCAAAATCAACTGCTGCTCTACTTGGGTTAATATCAAATTATAAAAACAAAAAACATATTGACACAAGTGTTAACATTATTAACCATATATTTTTTTTATATGCACTACAGTCAAACAGCACGTGCATTGTCCCCGACCCATCGCCAATGCACGTGGCAAATATTATTCTGTGGAACAGATCGGTGGCAATGCACATGTGGTACGCCTTTTGGAGTTTATTCCTGGAAAAATGTTCCACGAGGTGCCGGTGACCAAAAATTTGCTCTATCAGAGCGGCGAATATTTGGCCAAGTTGGATCGTGCGCTGAAAAACTTTACGCATAAGGCCTACGATACGCACAAGACGCTCTGGATGCTGCAATCGGTGCCACAGTTACGCGATTTTCTCTACGCTCTCGAGGATCACCAGCGCAGGGCGCTGTGTGAGGAAATCATCGATGCATTCGAGTCAAAAGTGCTGAGCATGCTGTCCACAATGGAGCTGCAGATCATACACGGCGATTACAATGAGCAGAATATCGTGGTCAATGCGCCGACGGCAGACACTGAGCGTCCAGATTCGTATCGGGTCTCTGGAGTCATTGATTTTGGCGACACCAGCCGTTCGCCGCTGATCTTCGAGCTGGGCATTGCCATGAGCTATATGATGTTGCAAGCCAAGGATTTGGCCAGTGGCGGCATCTTTCTAGCCGGCTACACCAGCATTCAGTCAATTAGCGCCGCGGATCGTGACTATCTAAAGTATTGTGTGGCCGCACGGCTCGCCCAGAGTCTCATCATGGGCGCCTACACGCACACGCTGCATCCGAGCAATGATTATGTGCTGGTCACCCAGGCACAGGGCTGGCTGCTTCTCGAGCAGCTCTGGCGCGAGAGCATGGACTCAATTGATGAACTATGGGCGACTACGGCACACCAGTATCTCACACAGAGCACCAAATAGGCCCAGAGCTGAATCCTTCCGTCCGCAACTAAACTTTGGTCAATTAGTATTTTCAATTATGAGCGAAAAACAAAAAAACAAAACAAACTGTCTAGGTTGATGTATTGAAAATTTCGCATTTTACTTTATTTGTATATGTATTATTATTATTATATAAACTTTCATAATTTACATTAAAACTTGTTAAACAGTTAAATGTACAAATACATTTGATGTGGTGTTAATAGTTTCTGGGAAGATTTGCTTTTGTTAACGTGTTCTTTTAGCGCTTTATTGCAATTAATTTACTGGAGCTGCGGTAAATTCAACTAATTAACAGCTACGTTAATTACAATCTATTGTAATTGTAATTGTTATCTTATACAAAGTAAAATTGCAAGGCAAATGTTATTTGCAATATACATGCGCATCGAGCGAATTGCTGTGTACAAATTTCAAGAATACAAAATATATATTGCTAGCTTTTAATTTATTTATATATATATCAATATATAGAGATATATGCTATATAGTCACGCGTCTACTTAGGCTAGTTAATTTAGGTTCTTAAGAGCTACAATTTACAGGGTATGTGCCAGCATGCCAAAAGCCGCAAATCTAGTTGCCCTGCAAAACGTTGCACACGGCATTGCACATGGAGATATATATTCATATTCATATTCATATATATATCTGCTATTGACGAGCCACAAATCAAATATATTGAGACATTTTAGCTAGAGTTTTTTTTCTTTCTCATTTTATTGCTTGTAAATCAAGTTTTTGTGGGTTCTCTTCTCTCAAAATGAAACAAAAATGTGTATTGTTGTTTGTTTTTTTTTTTTTCCAAATTATAATTAAACAAAAATATGTATAATATGTATTTGTTTGCATACGTAGAACCATGGCTTTCACAAAATGCAGAGCAAATGTTTTATCCCAGTCAAATGACGATCAGACTTCGATTTATGTTCAAACAACACACACATAATAAAATCTACGAAATTTATCAGTACACACACAACAAGCTTCTAGCACACACAAATATATACCTGAGTAACGAATTTCTCAAACTACACACACATACACACACACACGCACACCCTAAACAGTCTGCATTTTTCGAAGAACCACGGATCTTTATAACAAATTATAAATACACTCGGTTTTGCACAGTAATAATAGAAGAAGAAAAAAATTGGTTTTCTTAAATAAATCATATACATAGGATTTGCAGCAAAAAAAAAAGCTTTTGAAGTCTACAATTTTCATTTTGTTAAAGCCAAACCAAACTTTTCTGCGGTTTTCTGTTTTTTTTTTTTTTTTGCTCTTATCAATTCAGAATAAAGCTGAGATGTTTTTTGTTTTTTTGTTTTGACTGTATATATAAATATTTAACATAAGTTTTGTTTACGTCCTTTGAAGCAAGCTCAGACTGAACGTTCCGAGCTTGTTCTACACTTTAAAGTCTCTAGAAACTAACGACTGTTATTATTTATTGTTACAAATTAGGTTTAATAAAAAAAAAAAAAAAAGTGTTAAAAAAAAATTTAGATATAGATATATATATGTATATATAAATATATATCAGCATCATGCAACGTCAATGTGTGGGCTTTAGCAGGCATGTGGCATGTGGCATGCGGCATGCGGCATCTGCTGCTGCTGCTGCTGCGAGCCTAACGTCTCCGCTGACGTTTGCGTCGCTTGAGGAACACATACGATGAATTCATCTCCTGATGTCGCGCCTCGGCGGCGGTTGTGGGCAGCTTTTTGCTGGCCAACGTCGCCACGGGCGCAGCCTGCGCCTTGGCTCGGGCATCCGCTGTCGGCGCATGTACCGCATCCAGCCAGGGCAGCGAGAAGTGTTCGGATTCCGGTTTCAGGTTAATCATGTTCTCACCAAACGCCTGGACAGGCACTTCGGTAACGAACTGTATGCCCTCAATATCCTCGGGCAGTGGATAGAAGGTGGACGTTGGCAGTGGATCGAGCGGTATCAACACCTCATCCTGATTGTGACGCAAACGCAACGCCTCGCTGCGCATCTGTTCCCGTAAGTAGCGTGCATCGCGCTTCTTGCGCTCAATCTCATCCCGGACATACTTCTCGTGGCGACGCACAAAGTCCGCATCGCTGAGCGGCTCTGTGCCCTTGGAATCCGCTGAGCGTGTTATATGCACCAACTTCCATTTGGGTATCTCCAGACTGGGATTGTCGGCGAGCAGCTCATCGGCCTCCTCCAGAAAGAATTCATTGTCACAATGAAACTCTTGATCCTCCCAGGAGCGTGTCGTGTATGGCTGCAGTGATGTGCGGAATTTCGAGTTGTTTCTCGTGCTGCCCAAGCGCTTGTTGTTGTCGCTAGTGTTCGTGTTGTTGTTGTTGTTGTTGTTGTTGTTGGTGTTGCTGCTGCTGTTGTTGTTGCTGCTGCTGCTATTGCTGCTGCTGCCGACGCTGCTGATGGACTGCGGTGTCAGCGGCGTTTGGATTATTGTTACGGTTGTTACCGATGTTACTCTTGTTAATGTTGTACTGTTGTTGTTGTTGTTGCTGCTGCTGTTGTTGTTGTTGCTGCTGTTGTTGTTGTTGTTGTTGTTGTTCATCAGCTTCAGCTTGGGCGATGCCGCATTTGTCGGTGAGGGCGCGGGTGTTATTGTGGCGCTCGTCTGCGCTATGGGTGGATATATGAGGCTGGTGTTGCCGCCCGTCTGCATGGGCGACTTCTTGAGCCGCACCAGCGGCAATTGTTGCTGCTGGTTTTGCAGTCGCTGTTGCTGTTTTTGCAAATGTTCGTGTAGTTTGCGCATCGTCTCCTCTTCGATGTTGGGCTCCTCTGTTTGCGCTCCAGTTTGTTTTAGCTCCTGCTTTTCGCGTTGTTTACGCTCCCGTTCCGGTTGCTTTTCCTGCTCCCGTTCTGGCTGCTGTTCTAGCTGTTTTTGTGTACCCTTATGACGTGCACGCTCACCGTGTTTTTTATGCTCCTTTTGATGTGCTCGCTTTTTCAGCTGCTCCTTTTTCTGTTCGCGCTTCTTCGGCCGTTGCCGCTCCACCTGCTGCTGCTGTTCACGCTCTAGCTTCTGATCCTGCTTCAGCTGCTTTTTGCGCTTCTTTAGCTGTTTCCGCTTCAGCTGTTGCTCGCGTTCCAGCTGCTGTTCCCGTTCCAGCTGCTGTTCGCTTTCCAGCTGTTGCTTGCTCTCCAGCTGCTGGTCCCGCTCCAGCTGCTCCTCGCGCATCTTTAGCAGCTCCAGCTGTTGCTCGTGTTTGGCCACCTCTTCCCGCTCCTTTTGTTGCTCCCGTTCCAGCTTCTGTTCACGATCTCGCTCCCGCTGCTGTTCCAGCTCATGCTCCCGCTGCTCTTCCAGCTCACGCTCTTGCTGCTCTTCTAGCTCACGCTCTTTCTGCTGTTCCAGCTCACGTTCCCGCTGCTCTTCCAGCTCACGCTCTTTCTGCTCTTCCAGCTCCCGCTCTCGCTGCTCTTCCAGCTCACGCTCTTGCTCCCTTTGCTCTTCCTGATCACGCTCCCGCTCCCGCTCTCTCTGCTGTTCCTGCTCCTTCTCTTGTTGCCTTTCCTGCTCCCGTTGCTGCAGCGCTGGCTTGGCCAATATCGCTTTATCATTTGCTGTTGCTGCATTCTGTGTCCCCGTAGGCGGCTGCTTCGCTGATTTAGCCAAATTTCGCTCCTTCTTTGTGGCTTCCAATTGCGACTTGGTTGCCTGATGATTGGCTACAGCTTTAGTCGGCGTCGCTGGCAACCTTAATTTGCGTGGCTTTGTTGCTAATTCGTCCACATTTGATTTGATTGACGCCTGTTTTGAGTTGGGTTCCCTTAGTGCATTTTGCAGCTTTGTGTGGATCGGTTCATCACATTTTTGCACTTGGAATAACGAATTATCAATATCGTCATCTGTGAACTGTGTTGCATGTTGTGTGGGAGGCGTTGCAATGAGTTTTCGCTGCTGCTCTTCCAGCTCCATCTGGCTGTCCAACTCTGCATGCCACTGAAAAAGAAGAGAGAATTGGATTTTAGGAATAGATTCTTTTATGGCTATAGCAAAAGCTTACCAGTCGCTGTTCCTCCTCCGCATCCGCTTCGTGCTGCCAGAGATTATCCGCATCGCAATTGTTAACAATTTCGTGCTCCATCTCGACTTCCTCTTCGTAGATGTGTCCATTGTTAATGTTATCATTATCTTCGGCAGTCTCCTCGGCGCCTAGCTCCTCCTCGGCGCCAATAATTGTTTCAGTCACTATTTCCATTTCATGCGTATCGAGCGCATCGTGATAGATATGCTCCTCCTCCTCGTCCACTTCCGCCTCCAGCTCTTCCTCCTCGCCAATGTCCATGTGTGTGTGCAACTCTTCTTCGTCTAGCTGCAATTGCAATTGCTCCTGCTGCTGTTTCTGTCTTTCCTCTTCCTGCTGCTGTACCTCCTCTTCCTGCTGCTGTACCTCCTCCTCCTCCTGCTGTTGCTCCTGCTCCTCCTCTTGATGCACACGGTGCAAGAAAAAGGTTCTCACCTTTTTGCCGCCATTGAACTCGCCGCGCACCTTACTATTCTCAAAAGCAGGTGTCGTTGGCGGCAAATCCGTTACAGACGTAACCAACACGTTTTGTGTCTGCTTTAAATGTGTCCCATGTTTATAGCCATGCAGAACCGTCTCCTTTGGGACGAAGTCCGGTGTCTGGGTTTGTTTATCCGCACAACATTGTGATTTCAGTTTGGGCTGTCCATCAGTATCGTTAGCCGACCGCTTCATATGTCTACGGAATTCCTTGCGCAGATCCTCAATGGTTAGGCTAAGTTTGGCTATCTGCTGCATCTGCTCCTGATTCTGGGCGAGCAACGTTTTGATGCGTCCATTTTTATCCTCCAGCTCTTTCTCTTTGTCCAATATGCTTTCGGTCTGATCCTGCATAACATTCAGATGGAGCACAATCATCCGCTTCAAATTGTTGTTCTCCACTATCAATGTGACCACATCCGAGCCGTTATTGGCGTTTCCACAATCCTGCGGCAACGGTGCTGGGTCTAACCAACCGCCACCGCACCCGCCACCACCTCTGACATTTGTGGGCTGCTGCGGCGGTGGCGGGGGCTTGTAATAGTTATTGCTATTATTGTTGTAGTTGTTGTAGCCATGATTGGGGTGTGTGTAGTTATTGTAGGGCTGCTGATAGGCGGATCTTGGTGCATGTTGGCCGTAGTTTTGTTGATCCACATAACCACCTCTCTGTTGGTTCATTGGCCGTTTGAAACGCTTATCCATTTCGCAGTCACACACGAAACGCACGCTCTATTATTATTATTGTTTACAGAAAGTTGTTCATAGTGTTTGGTCGTGTTTTGTTTTCGGCTTGCGCCTATTCACCACGGCACGCCAACTTTTGACAGCCGCAGCTGATGGACTAACACAGTAAAATGCGTAAAACCGTTTTATTCACCACACTCTTAATTTTTCTGCTATCGCTTTTTCCCAGAAAAATGCGTTTTCGCAACAATTTAGCGTATTAATTACATTGACGTTATGACATGTGGCAGTAACATTTAGTTTATTTGCTATGTTAAAACTTTATAAATACTTCTTTTACTTGCTTTTACTGTTTTTAAGTTTTATGCGGATAATGTAAACTCGCCCGAAAAAAGCATTTTAGAAGTATGGCGTTGTTGGTGTTGCCAGGCTACACAATGGCAGGGTTGCTAAATAGCGCCACGCTGCCAACTGCTAATTTTCACCACTCACTATTGTTTGTCAAATTTGGTCTACTGCTCAAAACGTTGTACAAATATTCCCATTTATAATTCTTAACAACAAATAATTGTAATTTGACAGCAGCTAAGCACAAAAATTATGTAACAAAGAGGCGTAATCCACGACGCGAGTTGGCATCACGTGTGCACATTCGCTGTGAATGGCAGCACATAGAAGCAGAAAAATGGCGGCAATTCAGCTTGTAATTCTGGACTCTACAGTGGTGGCTTTGTGGACTTCAATATTCCGCGATGACATCCATATTTGGTGAGGATGGGGTTGATGACCTGTTCAATGATAACATTGGCATCGAGAACGATCAGTTACCCAGTGATGGCGAGGTGGATGCAGGCGAAAAATTGTTCGGTGACGATGAGGATGCTGCAGATGCGGCTGGCGAAGGTGAACAGGAAGCCGTCAAGGTAGAGCCTAAAAAGCGTGCGGTGCGAAATCCACGGCCACGGCTAACTGTGGACACACTGCGCGGACCACGCGGCTTGCACACGATCGAAAACTATTTCAAGGACATTAAATACAAGGGCAAGGGCCATGAAAAGGCTGACTTGGACGAGATCTTGCGCCGCTTGCAGCACTGGGGCCATCGTATGTATCCAAACTACACGTTTGACGATGTCCTTAACAACATCGAACGTTTGGGAAAGAAGAAACCACTGCAGGTTCACATGGCACGCTACCGCCTGAATCAGCTGGAGGAACTAGTTGAGCATGACGGCGAAATGCAGGACAATGCCGATGATGAAGACAACGATGCCGCCGCCGAGCCTTTCGATGAATTTGATGCCCTATTGGGCGAACAAATTGCCATGTCAAAACTAGCGCCGCGGACGCCGGCGATCAATCGTCGCAGCTTGTCCACGACAAACAGCACACTAGTGACGCCTTCATTTTCACGCAATGCCATTGTATCCACACCATATTCCGTGACGGTGCCCGCCATAGCCGACGACGACAGCGTCAGCGATTATGGACAACCATTGCCGCCATCGCAGCCAGCAACGCCGGCGGCAAAAAGTGGTCAATTATCCGCCGAACAAATGGCGCGCATTGCAGAGAATCGCCGCCTGGCACAAGAGCGACTGCGCGCTAAGCAAATGGAGGCCAGTGCAGCTGCAGAAGTTACATAGTGAAACTAGTATATTCTTCAAAAAGAAAATGTTATTTATTGTAGATTAAGAAATAAATTAAGATTCGTGTAGAAGGATTTTACAGTCGTTGTCTATATATATATATCTATGTATGTATACATATTGTGAACACGAACAGTGCGAGTCGCGCTTAAGAGAAATACTATTAATTCCAAAAACTACAAACTAAAATTGCCTGCTGGATGCATAGCTATATCAAGGTACAAGCGTGTTTGTGTAAGCTGTTCAGCATTTATGTGGTAAAGCGCAGGGCGACGCGAGGCAGCATCTCGAGCAGCCCCTTGGCGCCCTTTAGTAGTATAGCGACAATGTTCATTGCAAGTAAATCTGTATTTGGCAGAGCTTGCTCATCCATTTCTTTCGGTTCGGTGCTCTGGTCTATTGCCTCGCTGATCACATGCAATAGGCGTTGATAGACAAACGATTGACGGTAAATGGGCTTGGAGAGGCTGAGATGATCATCTTTGAGCAAAAAGAAATCACCGAAATCGATGCGGGATGATTCCTCAGTAACGATGCGCAACGGAAACTTGAATGTGGTCAGCATGGTGGGTGAGCCTTCGGCCAGACTGAGCACATTCACGTGACGCAGGCAGGTGTGTAGGCAGCCCATGAAACGGCGATGCATCTCCAGCAATTTCGGTGAATTCTCTTCCATTTCCTTTACCTCAATCGATGGCGAGAGTATCATTTGCATATGCTGTTTCCATTTGGCTATCGGCGAGCCGCGATGCGGTGTGCCCAGAAACACTATGCCCTGCGTATTCTTGGCAATCTGTTGCAGCCTCTGCTCCACAGAGTCCACACATTTAAGCAGTATAAGCTTGGTTAACAGACCACCCATAGAATGACCAATCCATACCACAGGCCGGCCATTACCAACGCCGGCGGTGGCAATGCGTTCCAACAGTGAGCTGGCACGCACTTCTATATGACCCTGGCCCTTCTCGCATGGACAATACTTGGTGAAATTGGCTGACCATTCGGTCACAGCTGATGTATAGTCAATGCCAATGATTCTGTAATAAATATTATAAAATTAATCAATTGGACAGCTGCATTGATTGATGTGCTTACCGAGAATCGGGATAGTCATCGGGCAACCACTCCATGGGCCAGCAGTTTGTGTACTCTTCGCTTGCATCCTGATTGGTCCACTCGTTGCCCGAGACACTGAAACTGCCTTGACAATCCGCATTGCCCTCCAGCGGGATATCTGGATGCACTACCTCCCAATCTGAATCGAGCTCAGCCTCACTGTATAGGGTTTCCACAAACTCTTTGGTGGCCGCATCGCTTATGTTCAGACGTTTCTCCTCCACCTTCTTGCTGGTCTTCAGCAGCGAATCTGCGAGGATAAGAATATTAATTTACAATACGATCAAGGGAAAATTTGTTTTGAAAATACCTTTCATGGCACTGGTTTTGTTGGCGCTTATCTTGGATGCCTCACTGGTGGCTGGTAACTGGGCGGGAATCAACGGTCTGCCCTGCTGCTTGTTATACTGTTGTCTACTGCCGTTGCGCTTCGGTTCGCCCACGAGAAACACATCGTCCGTTTCGCTGGTATAGAACGCATTCTTGCCATATAGACCCAGTTCGGTGGGCTTACGATCCCGCTGCCGCCAGGTAATAAAGACGCCACCCAACAATCCATGTATAAAGACAATGTCTGCCTTGGGCTTGCGGCGAGTGCGTACACGCGGATGCAGGGGATATACATTGGGCGGATATGTGAACTGATTGGGATCATCATGATCCAGATTGGCCATTGTTTTGGCTGAGATGACCTGGAGACGCAAGTCGGGGCACTGCTGCCATTCGGCTAGCGCACCAACCCAGCCAGAGACAAAGAAATGCTCCACTGCATCCGGCACCAACGATAGGTTCGCAAGCACTTTGCATAGCGTTGAAAGCGTCTCGTTGTCGTCGGCGAAAATCTTGCGCAGCTCCATTAAATGCATCAGTCCGCCATCGTGTATGATTTTGGCCGCAATCTTCGGATCCTTGGTGATGTGATGCAGAAACGAAATGACTTCTTTGAGTAAGTCTGTGTCCTGCACAGCTAGCGATACGTTTTGATCCTGCGTGAAGAATTCGTTCAGCTCCTCCTGAAATAGGGATTAAACGAATTAGCCTGGGTTCTGTTTAAATGTTTAGTTTCGGACTTACGATACTATGCTGATCTGGAAAATATTTGCTGAAGAAGTGATCCACACAGGACAATGGGCGCAGCCGGTCAAGCATTACGTGCAGCTCGCAGAGCAGCATTTTGGGATTCCTAATGCAGCCACGGCGTGGCAGAGGCATAAACCAACGCATGTCGGCACCGCAGCGGGCCAACGAGACGGAGGTGCGTGCATCACAGATTTGTGCCAGGTGCCGAAAGTCCCAGTCCTTCAAATGATCCATGCATATCAGCTGCTGCACTGCCTTTAGACGCTCCGCCTGGCTGCCGTTTTGTGCTATATTCAGCAGACGCCAGGCAACCGAATGCTTCGCTGCCTTCCACCATTTGCCAATGGGATTAATGATGACACTTATCCACTTCTTCTCGTCCTCCTGCTTCTGTTGCAGCTTGCGCATGGATTCCCGATAAATGTGATATTTAATGTAAATGTATTCCGTGCGACGTTTGTCCGGCTCCTGTTCTTTTTTGGATACATATTGCGAGAAGTATTTACGGATTTGCGGTGTCTCGTAGAGTATGATGCCGGCGCTGAAAATAGTACAGAAATTGTAAATTAATACACACGTGCTGTTGTTCATTTACAATTTGTTGTTGTTGATGTTTTAAAATTGACCCAAATATCAACAAGCTAGGAGCTGCTGCCAACAATTTGTTGTTGCCATAAACTTGCGATAAACAACAACAACTTTTATTAGATTTATAAAAGTGGGCGTGTCACAAATACCACACACAAATACTCAAGCAGCGCCACACGCGCCAACGAAAATTCCCAGAACCAAAAACAATAACAAAGATAACAGTGCTGCCTAGTTTTTAGCAGAAAGCTAGTTTTTTGGGGGAAAATAGCTAAATAGCTAAATTTTATATGTAGCACGAAAATGGTTTATGAAAAATTGCTGTTTAGATATTTTTCAATTTATGATAAGTATATTAAGCTCTTAATTTACCTAACTATAGTCATTATTAATTAATTACAAACATTTTTGTGTAAATCTAAACCTGCTTTTTGCAAGCATATTTGACGTTATAATGCCATTTTTATAATTTTAAATTTTGCATGAAATTTTTGGTAAATAGAGCCGACAAAATTGTAAATCCACAATTCGGTCAATCTAATTCCCGTTGTTTTTAATTCCTATCCTATTTGACTGGAAATAATCGGAAGTGGCAGCACTGTCCAATAACTACAAGTGTCGCGGGGGGTCCGTTATTTTGCGAAAACTACTGCGCACTATTTAGATGGCCAGTTTGTTTTGTTTTTGTGTGCGCTTGCGTGTGTGCATATGTGTTGGTGATCAGGGGAGGGCCTTGAACAGCTGTTACGCACAAGAAGCAGTAGGGTAAGCGAAAAGCAAACAAGCAACAATAACTAACTCTATCTTGCTATCTCATTTTGACAAAATCGTACGTTTGTTTTGATCGTATTGTGTTAATATGTTTCAACAACAACACTTGGCAGTTGTTCAGAGACGGCAGCATGAATAATTTCTTTTATTTGTTTTTTACCATTTCTGTAAACAAATGACGTCACAGATGCAATCGCCCGATATCTGGCAAGAATGCGGAAGACGCACTCAAGATATTTTAGCTCTAGTGTCAGGCAACTAACTTGTTCAGGGCCAAGTGGCGCCACTTCGTGTATGTTAAGAGTTTGTGACAAGCCCCTTTAAATGGCATGGTTGTATGTATATTAACTGTAATTGCTGTTGGGAGCAAGAGCAGCTGTTGCTGCTGCTAAACTGATTCTACTTACGTGGTCAGAATACCAAAACCTCCAAGCAGCTTTGGAAAACGGCGTATTGTTGCTTTAATATCCTCTAATGACATTGCCTGCTGTATTTCTGTTGTGTGCGTGTAGCCTGGCGAACTCACTAGTAAAATTTGTCAAGTAGTTGCCAAAAGTTTACTTTGTTTTTTTTTTTTTCTTGTTTTTATACAATCACTCTTTAAATTTAGACTATTCTCGGGCGTCGAACTTATCACTGTGTCACTTTGCTTTTAACTATTCAGAATTTATTTGTATTCGTAAAACTTGTATTAATTAAAATGGTCTGTAAAGTTTTTAATAATTAATGAACGAACGACCCCTTTGGGGTCTAAAAGTTTGTTTTTTTCGAACTCTTGTGCTGTGATTCAAGTTGTTGAATGACTGATTTGTTTTGTTTCGTCTCTTTTATCTCTTTTTCGTAGTCGAGTGTGTTGCCACACTGTCTTACAAAAACCAAAAGTGTTGCCACATTATTTGCTGCGATTATGTTAAATCGGACAATTCCAATGTTATAATTCATGTTTAATTGTATATCGAAAATAATAGAAACCATTATTATTAACGAAAAATAAAACACCAATTTTCCGCTTTTTTCTTATACTCCTAGCCAACAACAATGTTATGTTATTTAAGAGTTGAGAAAAAATCTCTTAAACACCCGCTCACTGTTAATAACAGTGCGGCAAAGGTGATGTGTACTCTCACGGCTATGCTGCTGTTATCATTTAGTATATGGCTTGTGCGCTGCGAGTGTGCACGCACTGGTCTCGCGATTTGTGTAACCAGAGATTGTATTAAATTAATGTACTATAATGAAAATACATTTTCGTGAACAATATGGCACCAAAGGCGAGGAAATACTATATGTGACGCCGGCAGGTGAGTATTGAGAACACAAAAACATACAAAACAATTATGCAAGCATCCAATTTGTAGATCAAAGCAATATTGTGCGTGTGCCTCTACGTGGCGACAGGCTGGTCATACAGGAGAAGTTCCTGCTGTTCCGTGTGCTGCAGAATATCTTTCTGCCCAAAGGCTATCCGGACTCGGTATCCGATGATTATGCGGCGTACCAAATATGGGACACGGTGCAGGCATTCTGCAGCACCATTTGTGGCACACTCTGTACACATGCCATACTCAAGGGAATTGGGGTGGGCAGCGAGAATGTGAATGCCTATTCGGCGACAGTTACATGGATATTGAAGGAGGGCAGCGGGCATTTGGGACGCATCGTATTCGCCTGGTGGCAAGGCAGTCAGCTGGACGTTGATTCAAAGAAGTGGCGACTACGCGCCGATTTTCTCAACGATCTGGCGATGGGCATTGAAATCTATGTGCTTCCCAAGTATCCACATCTTAGCACGCAAATTCTTTGCGGCTCCACCATGCTGAAAGCGATAGTGGGCGTGGCTGGCGGCGCCACACGGGCAGCGTTAACCCAACATCACGCTGTACGCGGCAATTTGGCGGATGTCGCTTCCAAGGATAGCTCACAGGAGACGTGCGTCAATTTGATCGCTTCCTTTGTGGGCCTCTATCTGCTCACCATGATCAAGAGCCAGGCTATGCTATATACCGTGTTTTACATTGTCGTCACGCTGCATCTCTATGCGAATCTAAAGGCTGTGCGTGCTGTTTGCCTGCGCACGTTCAACGAATCGCGATACTTAATAGCCCTGGAGGAGTTCTTTAGGTCGTCGCACATGCTGACACCGCAGCAGGTGAGCTTCAGTTTATCTTTAGCCAGTTTAAAGATAATAACTGTCCCTCTTTCAGGTCAACAAATTGGAACGCGTCACGGTCGGTCAGATGGTATCAGTATCGCTCAACATACGGCTCGGCTTGAGCGTAAAGCATCTCATTGATGAGTATAAAAGCAGCAATGTCATTGAGAATATTGTCTCCTCGTTCGATCCACATGAACGCTTCATTATAGCGGAGAGCAAGAAATATCTAGGTGTCTATTTGCATTTTGATACACGTCCCCAGGATGTGCTGAAGGCATACTTTTTCGCTGTCTCCTATCTGCAGGATAGAAATCAAATTAAGGAACAGTATTGGGACATACAAGGCAAATGGCAGGAGTTTCTAAATTTAGCGCAAAAAGAGGGTAAGTCATTGACAATTTAGAGGCATGATTATATATTTAAAACTATTCACACAGGATGGCTAATCAATCAGCACTTGCTGCTGGTTGATGAGTATCGCTTGGACTGGAAGGCCTAGGGGAGCGACCTATGCCCACCAATTGGACCAAAGATGATACAGCGCTAAGATGCTTGCTATGAACGATATTATTTGAGTTTTATTTAACCCAGTATGTTTTAACAACATACACACACACACACACATTCTCACATATCTCACATAACCGTAAGGCAAACACGTTGATATTAGCAAATGATTGCGATAATACATATTTACACATTATAGATTTAGTCACATGACACTCATGCGCATCTATCTGAAAATATTTTGAAAAACATTCGAATATAATAACGTAACATCTTCCAACTATGTAACTCTGCCTTAGCACAAAGTAACGTTTGAACCGATATTTAATAAGATATTCAAGAAGCCCATCCCGGACTATCTTTAAAGCATTTTCAATTCAAAGGATGTGCTGATTTAGGACTCAAAAATTACAAAAAACAAAAAAAAAAAGAATCTATTTTGTAATAACTTACCACTTGTATATTTCGAGTAGGTACTTTTTACCAAAAGAAAAACTGCGCAACGAACGAGCCGCTTCAATTGTAACCCATAAAATTGTACAAAGTTTTTAATCATAATTTAATTGGAATGCACTGTAGAGTGCCATTTTATATAAAACGTGTAATATTATTTATAAGCTTTACTTATAGTTTTAATAATAATTTTGGCAAACAGCAAGTCCATTAGCTTAGCACTTAATATTAGCTTGAGAAATGCTTTTTATATTATGCGAAATAGTAGTATAAACGCAATTGATTTTAATAGAAGAATAAATAAAATTCTTCGACATTTTATGCAAAATTTGTGTCTAAACTTTGTTTTGTTAAATATGTTAATAGTAGAAATGGAGAAATGGACATATATATATATATATTATATATAAATTTTTTAATTTATAAGAATATATGGTATCGGTATCTACTGTTCATATACGTTTTTATGCTACTTTTGTTTAATAACAATTTTAACAAAATTATAAAACTTCGCTATCGTAGCTCATTTGATTATTTGAAATATCAAATTTATTTTTGAATATTCAACCTACATATATTGAAATTTCTGCGACTAATAAGAGCACGCACGAATTTGGAATTGTTTACAAAATTTTGAATAATACAATAGTTTAATTGTCAATATAGAAAACACGCATAACTACTGTTGTCCTGCTAAATTGGCTGAAAGTAGTTCACATAAAGTGTGAACGTAGCATATGTAAGTTAATAAGTATCGATGCTGTCTATCGATAACATTTGAAATATCACATTTATTTTTGAATTTGTACCCTAGATAGATGATTCTGCGCCTATTTAGAACACGCACTGTTAAAAATATTGTATTATTCAATAGTTTAAATATCACTATAGAAAACACGCATAAATCCTGTTGGCTCAAATTAGTTCAAATGCAGTGTGAACGTAGCATATGCAAGCTAAAAGGTATCGATGCTGCCTATCGATAACTCGAGCGATTATTTGTTATTTTAAACCAAGCACGTGCGCCTGATAAACGTGTTTTTGTTTGAAAAACAATTTAAAAGCGATTTATAAATTATGGAAGATGCTCACCCAAAGGCTGCGCCAGCCAACAACTTGGTCACAAATGTGGAGGCAGCAGCGCACCTAACTACAGAAGAAGAGGCCACCAATGCAAAGACCATCGTGCTGCCTGAAGAAGCAGCTGTTGAGGCGGAAACAAATAAAAGTGATTCAACAAGCATTGTTGATGAATTAACCACAAATACGAAGCCCACATCTCAAATAGATGCACACAAAGAAAATCCAGTCGAGACGTTGATAAGCAGCCAGGTGGAAGCACATGCTGGGCCCCAAACAGGTAGGCTTAAAAAAGTAAAAGAAGTAATTAAGTGATTTTACCTATATAACTTTTATATATTTTGTCCAGTCGAAAGTCTAAGTGCTGTGCCTGTTGAGTCAGCAGAACCAAAAGTGCCTATAAATATCACAAAGCCTGTTGACGCAGAGATTAGCTGCGAGGGAATAGATGGTGGTGCTCAAGTGGAACCCACAACGGCTGCGAGTGCAGTGATTGATACTGAGATGAGCAATGGGCAAATAGTTGCTAATCCTATAGAGGAACTCATAACCGCGTCGACTGCAAAGGCAGAGGTAGAGCTGGGCGATGAAGGAATAGTTGCTAAGCCTCAAGTGGAACCCACAACGGCCGCGACCGCAGTGATTGATACAGAGATGAGCAATGGATCAATAGTTCTTAATCCTATAGAGGAACTCACAACCGCCTCGACTGCAATTCCAGAAGAGCATAGCCAGGCAGAGCATAGCAGCGAGGGAATAGGCGCTAATCCTCTATTGGCAATGACAGCCGCTGCCAATGAAGTCGTGGCTGCTAATCCTCAAGTGGATCTCACAGTAGTTGCTAATCGTCAAGTGGAACTCTCAACCGCTGTTACTGCAATGGAATGCGAAACGTTGTCGGAGGCTCCAGCAAACACAGCAGCAGCGAAACCATTAAACGGGCTCAGCTTGCTGGCTGCCTACGGCTCTGATGTGGATTCAGATGTGGAGGATGTAACCAAAATAGAAGATAGCGACAACGATGACATAGTTGAGATGCCCGTCAACAGTTCCGCGATACGTCGTCAAGTTGTTTCCGTGAGCTCGGAAAGCGACAGCAGCAGCAGCAGCGACTCGGACTCAAACTCAGAGGCCGAATATCTCACGGTGCTGCGCAAGAAAATAGAGAAGCGCATCAATACCGAGGATTGTGAGGATGAGGATGACGATGAGGATGTGGAGGGTGATGCACGACCGCGTCGTCGCCAGCCGCCAAAAGTGCGCGGCGAGATGCTTCTAGATGAGCTGCCGCCCATACATCAGCTGGAGATAACCGTGCCGGAGGATGAGTGCATTGAGCTGGGCAAAGTGCATTCGATAGTGGATCAACTGGTGCTGGTTAGTGTGCTGCCCAATTCCATGCTCTTCGATTTGGACACTGTGCTGTTTCTGGAAAAAGGACGCAAAGTGCTGGGTCAGGTGTTCGATGTGCTGGGCCAGGTGGCCGATCCGCTCTACTGTGTGCGCTTCAATACCAATCAGCAGATCAAGGAGCGCAACATTAACATTGGCGACATAGTCTACTGTGCGCCGCAGACGGAGCACACACAATTCG